GAACCCGCATGCAATCTTGTCTGGTCGCGGCCGCGAGACAAGGGTCAGGCGGCGAAAGCAAAGTCCAGGGCGCGAGCAAGGACCCGCATGCAATCGCGAAGTTCCGGGTGGCCCATGTTGTCATGAGCCCGTGCCAGTGACCGTTGTTGGAGAGGCGTTGGGACCTCCATGGTCTCGGTGCCCGGTGTATCTTCGACTCTGTCATGTTGCTGGCTAGGTTCTACGAAGTCTGGTTCAAGGCGGTCGCCTTCCGCCGCGCCCTCGACGTCCTCGTCGATGGTTTCGAGCGCGGGGCATGCTCCAATAACCGCCTGGTCCTCCGCGATTGTCTGCGCGAGCCCGTCGACCACGTGCGGCGAATAATCGAGCTTGGCTCCGGTGTTCGAGTGCTGGTAGAAGCACGGCTGGTTGTCGACGTCATTGGAAATGCCCTCGATGCGCTCGATGATGCCGGCCCTCTCGAGGCGCTTGATCAGGCCCCTGAGGATCGTGTTGCAGAACTGACTCCAGCGAGAGCCTGGTGTACTTTCTGCCAGCGAGCTGGTCGCGGTCGAAACTGCGGTGAGTACGGCGTCTGCACGCGGCCTTGAGAACCTCGATGCTGTTGCGGCGGGCACCGGCTGGCCTGCGATTGAGCTTGCCTCCGTCGACGTGTAGGTTGAACTCGCGCATGTCGGCGTTGATCCAGCCGATCGTCGGTGTCGGCCAGCTCCTGGATGCGCGGCATGACCCGCGAACGTGCGTAGGCTGGTAGTTCAGATGAGAATGAACCTCCCCGGTCGCGTTTTTCGAGGGCGAGCGCTGCGCGTAACTCCTACATATTGAACGCCCTCGCGCTCTTCGCTGCTGGCGATGTCCTGGTCGCGCTTGTAATTTGACAGGTCGCGGATGCGGCTCCATACTTTGCGCGGCGGGCATGAGATGTTGCGGCAGGGCTGCTCCTTCGCGATGATCTCGCGAGCCCTGTTACGGTCCGACTCCCGCGTGAAATCGAAGCCAGCGGCCATGTCCAACGCGCTTCCAGGTTGAAATCCATATCGAACGCACTGTTGCGCAACGCGAGGTCGGCTGCAGATCTCCGTGACGTCGGCGCCCTTCTTGGGCAGCTTCGTCATGCTTCGTCGTAATTATCGTCGAATGCCCTTCGAAATGACCCCCTACTCGTCGCCATCCAACAAGACGCTCGTAATGGCGCCGCTTTGCACTTTGAAGATGTCGACGCTGTCAGTCGAGTTGTCCTCGCAGTCCTCTGCGACGCAGTCGACCTGATCTGTGAAACTGTTCATGTAGCCGATGCCGATCTGGTCGCCGAAGAAGACGCCGCTCGCGAAGACGCCCAAATTGACCGGCGCCGCAGTGATCACGACGTCCGTCTCGGCGCTGTCGTCTATGCGCCCGAAGCAGATCGAACCTCCATTTGCATGTCCTCTTGGCTGGACGAAATCGCGTAGACCTTCACCTTCTCGAAGCCCTCTGGCGCGATCTCCTTCATCTCCTCGCAGGCCCGCGTCGCGACAAGTACGCGCGCTTCTTCTCGTAGCGGTCGTGCGCTCTCTCCATGGGCTCTCCGTGGACTCGGCGTGCTGGAACCTCCGTCTTCACGACGCCCGCGCTGATCTCGGTCTTGGCCACCTCGCTGCCGCAGCGAGGTATCCGTTCCCATCGAGCCCCGCGCTTTATGAGCATTGCGTAGCATCTCTTGTGGTTGCCCTCCAGCAGCGACTGCTCCCCCGGATGGTCGCACTCCTCTGGCTTGCAGGTCGGCCTGACACCCTTGCGCTCGGCGTCGACAAGACGCCTGCCCCTCGTGAAGGACGTGGAAACACCCTTGTCAGCTGGCGAGCCAGCTCCCTTCCGATGCGCAGCGAAAGGTTTTACCTGCTCCTGGATGCCAGCGATGCACAAGAGAGCCGAGCGCAAGCACTGGGAGAAAGCAGCTTCGATGACCATGATCGACTTTCGCAAGATCCGATACCAGGCTGCTATCGCTCGTCTTTTTCGACCCTTGCTCTTCCCGCGATCTATCACCGGGTCCCCGCGCTGTCCGAAAGCCTGGTCCGCGAGACTCGTCACCAAGCGTCGCGATGGATATGAACGCCCCCGCTGAAATCGGAGGTCGAGAACGCGCAATTATGAAATCGCTGCCGGCCTCTGCTGGAACAGTACAAGCTGAACACCAATGGCTCTGGGAGGTCACACCTTCGGGGTCCAGGGGTTCCACTTTGGGACTTTCTTGATCACGTTCTCTGGGATGTTTTCGAGCTTGATCTCTGTTTGCTTGTTGTAGCTCCCCTTGTCCCTTCTTGCTCTGGTTGCGATTGCCTGCTCTGTCGATGCCGTAGTTGCTCTCTGCGATGCTGTAATTGCTCTCTGTGATGCTGTAGTGGCTCCCTGGGATGCTGAAGATGCGATCGGTGTTGCCGTGGGTTTGCGTTGCTCTTTTTGGAGCACACTGGACTTTTGGGAAACGAATTAGTCGCCCGAGTACGAATGCGCCCAACATGCGGGAAAAAATGCGGTTCTCCCGGGCGGCGCCCTATGGGCGGCGTAAAGAATGCAAAAAGAATGCGGCGGCATTCCTTTTGCATTCAACTCACGCAGCGGCATTCTTTTTGAACGCTTTATTGGTCAAGCAAGCGCGCGAGCATTCTGGTTAACATTATGAAGCGCATTCGTTTTGCATACGAAGCACGCAGAATCGGCACATAACACATGCAAAAACAAATGTCGTTTTGAACGCAAAAAAGAATGCAAGCATAATGCCTCGGCAACAGCGTAAAACATGCGACGCAACATGCTGCTATATCGTTTGGAGTGCAACGGGGTTGACATATTATGTACGTGGCACACCGAAAACAAGAGTTTTTTGTTTTCTAAGTGTTATTGCTAGCGACGTGGCAAATACGTGCAGCACGTGACAGCTATAGAGCCTCATACGACAACCATGCATACAAATCCACAGCGACAGTCATTTTACTGTCGAAGATAACGTTCACGGAAGGCAACGACCAGACACAGCATTTCACCAACAACCCTTGGCTGCGTTTCCTCCTGCGCGAAGCTCGAGCTCAAGTGGACTCCGTTGCCGCGGCCCCGGGCCCCCCACACCCTTTTCCTTCTCCTCTGTTTCCCTCATCATGCCTCCTACCTCCTACCTCTTGCTTCGCTCTCCTACTTGGGGGACCTCGGTCTTTGCGTCTTGCCTACTAAGTCGCCGCCGCTTTCGTTCAATCGCCTTGCGCTCGAATCGTTTCTAAATCTCGCCTTGGCTGGCTCTTGAGTGCAACTCCTGCATCCCCTCTCTTCCTCCTCATCCTCCTTCTTCTCCTCCTCTTCCTCTTCCATCCTCCCCCGCGCCCCCTCCTCCTTCTTGGCTCCCGCGATGGGCCTTGCGCTGCCGGTGGCGCATCGCGACCGGCAATGGGACAGAAGAGAAGGGGTGCCGGGGTCCCCTGATCTTGCTGGCTCTTGTTCGTCATCGCTGTTGCTGGCGGCTGCCCCTCCCTCCTCGCCCCTCGCCGCCCCTCTCCCCGGGCATCCCCCTCCCCCCTTCCTGTCCCTCCTCCCTCACCCTCTCACTTGCCCTCGCGTCCCTACTCATCCTCGCCCAGGCCCTGGCCGCCAGCCCCTTCCCTCCCTCGGCCAGCGCCCTTGCGAAGAGCAGCAGCGATACGCCGACGAGGGAGGAGGGGGAAGCGGGAAATTAGGAAGGGGGAGAACAGATCCCCGCGGTTCGTTCTTCAAGCAACGAGCCGGGCATCCAATAATACCCAGCGCAAGGTCGGGCCGTCCGCGCCGTCACGTGGGCTCCTGGGGGGCCCAGCGGAGTGAGGGTATACGAAGACCCAAAAGATACCTCGCGGCTCCCTTGGGGGCTGCCGCTTGTGCAACCGTCGCCACTTTCGTGGGATCCTGGGAGGCCCGGCGGAGTCGAGGGCCACGCGGACCCAGACGAGACCTCGCTCTGCTCTGGGTGGCTGCGAACAGCGCAGCTGTCACTACTTCGTGGGCTCCTGGGAAGTCCAGCGGAGTCGGGGCCCACGCGGATCCAGCCGAAACCTCGCGGCTTCCTGGGTGGCTGCGAACTGCGCAACTGTCGCCACTTTCGTGGGCTCCTGGGAGGCACGGCGGAGATGAGGGCAGTGCAAATCGTGCATATCTGGCCATGTGTTATTTTGTTTGGGGTACTCGTACAAATAATCGCCTCGCGTGGAGAAGGGTTTGAGTATGTCTCGGGATTTTTTCTTGGTAAAGGAAAGACGATGCGATTAGCATGACCACTGCTCGGCGTCTCCCAACAGTGGGATCAGAATTCAGTGACCTGGCCGATACCACCTGTCCAGGACAACTTGCCTTGACGCTTGCGGCACGCCGAACGCCCCAAATCGGCCCCAAGGCTACCAAACATACAAATCCATTGGCGCCAAGAGGGGGACCAAGAAGAAGAGAACGTGCTGTTCTTGCACAGGTGCGATCGGGAACTTTTACTTAGCGTGTCGCGGCGGCGGCCCTGGCGACATGCTTTGCTGTGCGAAGGAATGGCGTTCTGCTCCTGGGAGCGGGAGGCCAGGAAATGCTCTGGGCGTTGACGCTCCGGGACTCGGCCGTAGACAGTGTCGCCGCCGCCGCCATCTTGGAGTGAAGTGCGCGGGGGCAGTTGGCGAAATCCCCCTGCTAAGCGGACGGTTGACACCCCACGACGTGTCAAGTCATGGGCAGCGTACGACTTCCTCTTCTGGCGAGCCGTCTTGAATTTGGATTGGTAGTTACCTTGAAATGACATCCCGTTTTCCCACCGTCATCTTGGTGTGAGAGGTGCAGGTTTTGTTGGCTAACTTCCTCGTCCCGGGGCAGAGAAGTGTCGGCGTGGGAGGGGAAGCAGTGGGTAAAGGTACTGAGGACTGGGAGGAAGAAAGAACACAAGAGCGAGATAACGCAAATTCATGTAACGAGCCCATAATAAAAGGGAGCAGCGGAAAAGCTCCCTCCCCTGGATGCGCCTGCTGCGGTGGCTGGCCATGTCCAAGCGCCTGCTGGGGCTGACAACAGAAAATATCTAAATTCGAATTGCTCCGACCGCGCTGATGCGGGATACGTCGCTCCTGTCCGCGGAGCAACTTCAGACTCCAAAAACAATAATACGGTCCAATTCCACAGACACGCATGTCATTCAATCGTCCGTCGCCTTCCCCCCTCCAAAGGGCTTTCAAACTGTGAGATGCGTGGTGGTCCCGTGCAAAATGGTCTAGCCATGCTTGTAAGATAGTAGGTTCATATCTCTCCAGGGCCCCCCCTTCCGACGACCTGTAGTAACTGTAGTAGCTAATTTTACTCCTCTCGGTCCCAGAAATCCCCCCCACCCTTCACGAAACCTTTCGCGGCTGCTGGTGCATTCTGAACTCTCTCTCTCCTCTCTCTCTCTCTCTCTCTTTCTGGTGAGCGTCTGGCCCCCGAGGACAGTCTTGGAGCTCTCTTGGGCGCCTCCTGGGCCATCTTGAAGCCAAACTCGTCAACATCAATTTGTTCTTGCACGGTTTCAGCATTATTGCATTTTTGGTCTTCAGAGCGCCCAAGGCGGCCCAAGAGGCACTCAAGATCGCCCACAAATTGCCCGAGAGCCACCAAGAGGGGCCCAAGAGAGGCTCCCAAGACAGCCCCAAGAGAGGACCAAGAGGGGGAACACGAACTGACGTTTCGAGCATTCCGCCCCAAGATGGGCCCAAGATCCTCCCAGAGGCCCCCGAGGCGCCCCCAAGATGCACCGAAGAGGCTTAAATCAGGCCCCCCCAGGAGGCCCCCAAGAGGCCCCCGAGACGCCCCAAACCACCTCCAAAAGCGCCTCCACGAGGCTTCCGAGAGGTCCCCCAACGGATCATCGACAATCCAGGCACGGTGGCGGGATGGGCCGAAGGCTAGATCCGCCGCCCCCTGTCGATTCATCGCAGGGGTGCCTGGCGTGCTGGATCCTTTCGGTTTTGGTTTAGGTTCTTTTCCCAAAAGAACTCCACCGGGGCCTTCGGCCCGTCCCGCCCGCTACCCGGAAAGATTGCCCAGACCCGTCCAGAGGTGGTTGCCAAGGGTTTTTCCTGCTCCAGACAGCTCCAAGACGGCCCGAGATGGCCTCCAAGACGCCTCCAAGACGGCCAACATGGCCTCCAAGACGGCTAGGATGGCCCAAAGATGCCTCCAAGATGGCCCAAGATGCCTCCAAGACGGCCTCAGATAGCCTCAAGATGGTTCCAGATGGCCCAAGAGGCCCCCAAGAGCCCCCCAAGACGCCTCCAAGAGGTCCTCAAGTAGGGCCCGAAGAGGCCAACATCATTGGTTTTCCTCAGTTTTTTTTCGGATTTTGGCATTTGCTTCTTTTCGGCCTTCCGAAAACCTCAAGACGGCCCCAAAGACCCCCAAGATCGCCCCAAAATCGCTCTGGAGGCCTCCAAGATGGCCCCATGACGGCCCAAGAGGCCCCCAAGAAGGCCCCAAGAGGGCCCCAAGATGGCCCAAGAGGCCTCCAAGACGCCCAAGATGGCCTCCAAGACCCCAAGATGCCTTCAACACAGCCCAAGATGCACCCAAGACGGCCTGAGATGGCCTCCAGATGGCCTGAGACGGCCCAAGCGGCCCCCAAGAGGCCTCCAAGGCGGCCCAAGAGGCCTCCAGGAGGGCCCGAAGAGGCCAAAATCATTGATTTTCCTAAGGTGTTTGAAGGATTCAGGTATTTGCCTCTTTTCGGCATTCCGACGGCTCAAGACGGCCCAAGAGGCCCCCAAGATCGCCCACGAAGCCTCCAAGATGGCCCCATGACGGCCCAAGAGGCCCCCAAGACGGCCCCAAGAGGGCCCGGATCGTTCAAGCTGCGAATAAAATTCTCATAATGTTTCAGGAAGAGGTCCAACGGCCGGCCCAAGACCTAATAATCGCAATGCTTCGTCGATCCATGTCCTGGGAGGTCCGGGGGGCGCAGCTTCACCAATTCGTAATTCTGCATGCGGTGAAAATGTGTAGAAGACGTGGTGCGATACGATCGTTTCTGCACGCTTACGAATACATGTTTTGATGTGTCGCGCAAAGAGGCCTCCAAGAGCGTCCAGGAGGTCTTCCAAGAGGGCCCGAAGAGGCCAAAATCATTGATTTTTCCAGAAAGGTTTTGAAAGATTTTGGCATTTGCTTCTTCTCGGCATTCCGACGGCTCAAGACGGCCCAAGAAGCCCCTAAGATCGCCCAAGAGGTCTCCAAGACGGCCCAAAAGGCTCCCAAGACGGCCCCAAGAGGGCCCCAAACGACCCAAGAGGCCTGCAAGACGCCCAAGATGGCCTCTAAGAACCCCTGATATGCCCCAAGAGGGCCCCAAGACGACCCTGCCTCTCCCCCAAGACGGCTTCCGACGGCGTCAGACAAGCCAGGAACGCCCTAAGACGGCCAAAGAGGCCCCCAAGAAGCCACCAAAAGCCCCCCCAAACCCTCCAATAGGCCCCCAGGAAGCTCCCGGAGGCCCCAATAGTGCCCCAAGATGCGCCCAAGAGGCCTCATCCTCCTCCTCCTCCTCTTCTTTTTTTCCTCATCCTCCCCCTCCTCCTCTTCTTGCTCCCCAATGCGTTCCCCGAAGTCTTTCCAAACCGACTCGTGGAAAACTGGCCCGATAGCTTGGCCAAGCTCTGGCCCAGCTGTCGGCCACAGAGGCGCTTCCAAAGGGGCAGGGGGCGGCGGTTATTCGCCGTAGGCGTCTTCGATATCCGCCTCCCCCTGTTGACTTGCCACAGGGGTGCCCGGCGTGCTGAATCCTTTCGGTTTTGGTTTCGGTTCTTTTCCAAAAGAACTCCCCCTAAGGCTTCGGGCCAGCCCGCCGGGGACCCGGAAGGGTTCGCAAGACTGCTCGAGAGGTGGTTCCAAAAGTTTATCCTGCTCCAGATAGCTCCAAGATGGCCTCCAAGATGGCCAATATGGCCCGAGATGGCCTCCAAGGTCGCCCAAGATAGTCCAAGATGGCCTCCAAGACGACCCAAGAGAGACCAATATGCCTCCAAGTTCGCACAAAAAACCTCTAAGACGGCCCAAGACGGCCCCAAAGGTCTCCAAGAGGTCTCTAAGACGGCCCAAGAGGCCTCCAAGAGGTCCTCCAGGGTCCTGAAGGACGGCCCGAAGAGGTCAAAATCATTGATATTCCATAGGTTTTTGAAGGAATTTGGCTTTTGATCCTTTTCGGAATCCGATGGCCCAAGACTGCCCAAGAGGCCATGAAGATCGCCCCAAGAGTGCGCAAGAAGCCTCTAAGACGGCCCCAGGACTGCCCAAGAGGCCCCCAAGACGGCCCCAAGAAGGCCCCAAGACGGCCCAAGAAGCCCCAGATGGCCTCACGGACTGCCAAGATGGCCTCCAAGATGCCTCCAAGACGGCCAAGATAGCCTCCAAGACGGCCAAGATGGCCCCAAGATGCACCCAAGACGGCCCAAGATGGTCTCAAGATGGCCTACGACTGCCCACAAGGCCAGCAATGGGCCTCCAAGACGGCCCAAGAGCATTCCAAGCCTTCCTCCAGAAAGGCCCGACAGGGTTAAAGTGATTGATTTTCCTTAGGTTTTGAAGGATGTTGGCTCTTGCTCCTTTTCAGCTCTCCGACGGCCCAAGACGGCCCAAGCGGCCCCCCAACATCGACCCAAGAGCGCCCAAGAGGCCTCCAAGATGGCCCCATGACAGCCCAAGAGGCCCCCAAGACGGCCCCCAAAAGGCCCCAAGACGGCCCAAGAGGCCCCCAAGACGCCCAAGATGGCCTCCAAGACGGCTAACATGGCCTCCGAGATGTCTCCAAGACGCCCAAGATGGCCGTTAAGACGGGTACGATGGCCCGAAGAAGCACCCAAGAAGGCCCAAGAGTGCCTCAAGATGGCCTAAGACGGCCTTATAGGCCCGCAAGAAGCCTCCAAGACGGCCCAAGAGCCTTCCAAGACGTCCTCCAGGAAGGCCCGACGGGGCCCAAATCGTTGATGTCCCTATGGTTGTTGACGTATTTGGGCATTTTCTTCTTTTCAGCTCTCCGACGGCCCAAGACGGCCCAAGAGACCCCCACCATCGCCCCAAGAGCGCCCAAGAGGCCTCCAAGATGGCCCCATGACAGCGCAAGAGGCCCCCAAGAAGGCCCCAAGGAGACGCCAAGACGGCCCAAGATGGCCCCCAAGAGCGCCCCAAGAAGCCTTCAAGACGGCCCCAGGACGGCCCAAGAGGCCCCCAAGACGGCCCCACGAAGGCCCCACGACGGCTCAAGAAGTCCCAGATGGCCTCCAAGACGGCCAAGATGGCATCCAAGATGCATCTCCAAGACGGCCAAGAAGGCCTCCGAGACGGCGAAGATGGCCCCAATATGTACCCAAGACGACCCCAAGCGGCCTGAAGATGGCATTAGATTGCCCAGAAGGCCCGCTAGAGGACTCTAAGACGGCCCAAGACCCCTCCAAGGCGTCCTCCAAGAGGCCCGAAAGCTCGGAAACTACCTGGTCCGATAGCTCGCCCGACTCCGTGTTCCCCGAAGGCTTTCGGAACCCACTCGGGGAACGCGTGGCCCGATAGCTTGGCCAAGCTCAAACCCAACTTTCGGCCACACATGCAAAAAAAAACAGGGGGTGGCGGTGATTCGCCGTAGGCGTCTTCGATCCGCCACCCCCTGTTGGCTTGCCACAGGGGTGCCCGGCGTGCTCAATCCTTTCGCTTTTGGTTCTTTGAGGAAAACCTCTCTGGGGCTTCGGCCCGTCCCGCCGGCAACCCGAAATGCCGCACAAGGCCGCGTAAACCACCCCAACGTCCACAAGAAATTCTCCAAGACGGCTCAAGATGGCCTCTAATATGGTCACGTTGGCCCAATTGGCCTCCAAGATGGCCTCGAAGTCGCCAAAGATGGTCCAAGATGGCTTCCAAGACGGCCCGAGAGAGCCCAAGATGCCTTCAAGTTCGTCCAAGAAGCCTCCAAGACGGCCCAAGATGGCTCCAAGATGGCCTAAGACTGGCCAAGAGGCCCCCAAGAGGCCTCCAAGACGTCCTCCAGGAAGGCCCGACGGGGCCAAGATCATTGATTTCCCTTAGGTTCCTGAAGGATTTTGGCATTTTCTTCTTGTCAGCTCTCCGGCGGCCCAAGACTGCCCAAGATGCCCCCAACATCGCCCCAAGAGCGCCCAAGAGGCCTCCAAGATGGCCCCATGACAGCCCAAGAGGCCCCCCAAGAGGGCCCTAAGAAGAGCCCAAGACGGCCCAAGATGGCCCCCAAGACGCCCAAGATGGCCTCCAAGATGGCCAAGATGGCCTCCAAGATGGCCTCCAAGATGCATCTCCAAGACGGCCAAGAAGGCCTCCAAGACGGCGAAGATGTACCCAAGATGTACCCAAGGCGGCCCCAGGCGGCCTGAAGACGACATTAGATTACCCAGAAGGCCCGCCAGAGGACTCAAGACGGCCCAAGACCCGTCCAAGGCGTCCTCAAAGAGGCCCGAAAGCTCGAAAACCACATGGTCCGATAGCTCACCCGACTCCGTGTTTCCCGAAGGCGTTCGATAGCTTGGCCACGCTCAAACCCAACTTTCGGCCACGCACGCAAACAAAAGGCAGGGGGCAGCGGTGATTCGCCGTAGGCGTCTTCGATACAACGCTCAAGGACATGTCAAACAATGCTCCAGTATAAAAATACGTGTCTTCCATCCGTGCAATGGTTGAACATGTCAAACTATGGTCGCAAAACTTGCGTAGGCTTCAAGCAAGAACCCAATGAACCTGGCGCGACCCCAATTAGGGGAACACTTGCTATTGCGTGGGCGCCGTGCTTGGCATTGCTTAGCGTTGCTTCGCATTGCTTAGGAACCCGAGGGACTGGATGAACCCGAGGAAGGTCCGGAGACACCATTCTTCTGCTCAGGAACCCGAGGGACTGGATCAACCCGGGCAAAGTTGGGCCCCGAGACACCATTCTTCTTAACTGGGTCAGAACCACCTAGGCAAGCCTAATTGGGGAATTTTGAAAACGAATCGCCCTCCATCCGTGCAGCCGTTGTATTATTTGAACCTCCAGATCATAAAACCTGAGCTGCGCTTTGGAAACAAGCCGTCCCTGCATCTGTGTAACTGTTGGAAACTGCCTCAATGATGGGCGCGACTCAACGCCGAAGACCACATTTTGAATACCACCGGCCCTCCGCCCACGCAACTACTGGAACCTTCCGAACCGATTGTGTGTGACGCTGCATTAAGGCAGCATTTTTCGAAAACGGCCGGTCTACCATCATTGTACCTGTTGGAGCAGAGGAGGAGAGAGGAGCAGAGGAAGAGAGTGCGCCTGCTGTAGCACGCCGCTCAGGGCTGCCGATGCCGCGGCGGCCGTGGAGCCCAGCGGGTCGCTGCCAGCAGGGTTGACGTAGCCGCAGCCGCTCAGCGGCGCAGGCCAGAGGTCGTGATGCCGTCCAACCTCGAAGAGGGAGGGGGGCCCCTCCTCCTCCGCATCCTCCTCCTCCTCCTTACCCCCTCCCGTCCCCTCCTCACTCACCCACCCTTCCACCCCATACACACAAACACTTCTAGCGTCGGCGGCTAGGCAGAGGGTGACTGCGCTGGCGATACATTGCGTGAATGGGGGTACCGTTGGGCCGAATTGTGCCACCATGCAGGAGGAGGAGGAGGAGGAGGAGGAGGAGGAGGAGGAGGAGGGAGGAATACACACACACACGCACACACACACGCACAAACACGCACACACACAAACGCAAACACACACGCACCACACACACACACACACCACACACAGAGATACAGACATACAGACATACAGACACATACAGACACACAGACACACAGACGCACACACATAGACACAGACACACAGACACACTTTGTTCGTCGGCGGCTACGCAAGGGTCGTCTGCGCTGGCGGAAAGAACAACCTAAACGGGAGCACCATCCAATGAATTGGCCAGCATGCAAGAGAGGGAACACAGGACAAACCGGGCGGCCGCGGGGGGAGGGAAAGCGAGGGTCACTCAGGGGTTCGAATCACTTCCCCGGGTGAGCTGGCGCGGCCGGCCCCGCCGACACACAAACACACACAGACACCCAGACACACAGACACAAACACACACACAGACACACAGACACACACACACAGACACACTGACTCACAGACACACACACAGACGCACACACATGCACACACATACACACAGAGACACACACATATACACACAGACACACACTACAAACACACACACACATCACGGACACACAGACACACACACACACACACACGCATGCACACACAGAGACCGAGACACTGAGACACACAGACAGAGTGACACAAAGACAACACACACACAGACACACAGATAGACACACAGACACACAGACTCACATGTACACAGACACACACACAGTACACCCAGACACTCAGACACCCAGACACACAGACACCCAGACACACAAACACACAGACACTCAGACACACAGACACACAGAGACACAGAGACACAGAGACACAGAGACACAGAGACACGAAGACACAGGGACACAGAGACACGGAGACACAGAGACACGGAGACGCAGAGACACAAAGACGCAGAGACACCGAGGCACACAGACACACACACACAAACACACACGCACAGACACAGTCATACAGACACACACACACCACTCACACCACACACACAAACATACACACATTCACACACGCACACTCGAATTTGGTCTCGCCATCGCTCGGACGTCCATGCCCTGTGCATTTTTCGGTGTCGTGCGCATTTACTCGCAATGTGGCCCAAGATGCGCCTCGATGGTCCTCGTCGAGAAGAATCTGCCCACGTCCGAGCGATGCTAAGGGGAAGCAGAGGGCTCAATGAAACCAAAGAGCTCCCAAGCTGTGATTGCACACTTTTTGTTCTGCTTCGGCCTAGAACGCGTCGAATGACTTCTGAATTCGAGCCTCGGCGGCCACGGATGACGCAACAGACATGCATGCATGCACTCCTGCAGCAAATCATGCTGCAATATGTTCGCCATCATGCGATACAAGGCTTGGCACCGATGCTCCAGACACGTGTGCGGAGGCAAGAGGAGGCGGATGCAAGAGGAGGAGCCCTCAGATCCGGGCGCGGTAAAGAACTCGGGACGGCCTTTTTTCGTTCGCCCTCCAGAGGCCGTCTCCCAGCCCCAGGGCCGTCAACAAACAACTCAGGATGCGAAGCCGAGCCTGAGGAAAGGGTCGAGGTCCCCAGGGGCCGACGTCACGAAAAACTTGCGACGTCAGAGGAGAGGAAGGAGCCTGAGCGAAGCTACGCTATATTCAACCCGTATAATGAGGACGCACGATAAGGATACAAGGGCCTCGGAAGGCCATGCTGACACTCTACGAACGGGGCGCGGCCAGCGAAACTGGCCAGTGATGGGCCGAAGGTGAAGGATGCAAGGGTTACCTTGGGAAGTCGCTCATCCTTACCATGCGGATCGACTACACGTCCCCCTGAGCCTGGAGGGCACTATCCCCGGTGAGGCGACGTCAGGTCCCACCACCGACGCTCCCACCGCCTCCGCGTGCGGGGGGGGGTGCGGGGAGTGTGCGCGCACGTGCCATTCACAGCTGCTCCACAGCTGCACACCTCAGTCAAGGGAGGTTGCTGTCAAGTCTGACATTGCGCTCGCGCCCCCCATCACCCGGCGATGCCAGCAACTTCAGGAAACTCGCACCACCTTCATGCCACCCCCAACCTAGGACAATCCCCTTGACCGGCGAGAACATGTCCCACATCCTCCACCGCAAAGGGAACATATTGGGCAATCTAAGGCCGTGCTACTGCCCGCATCAGAAGAACAGCGATAACCGAGACGTGCCCAACCATTTTCTAAACGCGTGGCGATTATCAGTCTGGCAACGTAACACCACATAGCAAACTTACGCACCTGCGGCACTCCTGATAGCATCGCCAAACAACATCGGACCACGTCAACCCATCACGCATGTGGCGCTGGTTGCGCAAGTGGCAGCCCTCCCTCCTGGGAGCCGCGAGGTCTCGCCTGCGTCTGCGTATGCTCCTACTTTGCTGGGCCTCCCTGGAGCCCACGAACGTGGCGATGGCTGCGCGAGTAGCAGCCCACTAGGGGGCCGCAAGGTCTCGTCTGGGTTTACGTACACCCCCACTCTGCTGGGCCCCCCCAGGAACATACGAAAGAGACGACAATTGCGCCACCCTCTATCCAGGGAGCCGCGAGGTCTCGTCTGCGTCTGCGTACAACCCCACCCAGTTGGGCCTCCTGGGAGCACACGAAAGCGGCCACAACTGCGCAATTGGCCGCCGCCCATGCAACCGCGAGGCCTCGTCTGGGTTCCGTACGCCCACACTCCGCCGGATCTCCCAAGAGCCCACTAACGAGACGATGGTTGCGCAAGTGGCCCCCCCCAGGGAGCCGCGAAGTCTCGTCTGGGTTTGCGTACCCCCTCCCACTCTGCTGGATCTCCCAGGAACGCACGAGAAGTGGCGACAACTGCGCAGTTGGCAACCACTCTGGGGAGCCGCGAGGTCTAGTCTAAATGGTAGGACCGACGCAAGCAGGAGCTTTCTGCTAGAGACCGCTGCCAGCGAACCTCCGAGGCGGGCCCAAAGTTTACAGACGGGAGAAAAGGGGACCCCACAAACGGCTCGGAGCCGAGCAGGGCTCCAAAACGAAACGGAGACGCACGAGCAATGCTCGATTCACAGAGAACCGAACGCAGGAGGGTTGGGAATGATGCGTTACGCCTTCTCTTGCATGTGAGCCAGAACGTCCTAACCAATGAGGGCAACTGAAGACTAGGAGTGCGCCACGCTTGGCTTGCTGACGATACCCGCTACTGAAATATCTGCTGTGCGTGGTACACCGTCATCGTAGCAGGCACTTGAGACGAACACCACCCCGTCTGCTTGCCAAACGAACTCGAAAGCTGCTGTGCGCACGGTCACCACTTGTCTGTAGCGACTTCGGCACTGCCGCGCACACATAACAACAACTGATCCGCCACCGTGCCTCCCGACACGTGAGGCGCAGTATAATGCCGTATGCTGCCTGGTAGGGTTCCTGCAACTGTTCTGAGGCCCTCTCTCTCCACACTTCTTTTCGGGGATGGACAGAAGCCCTTTAGTAAAACGTGGTTTAGTGAAAACGACCTCGGGCCCAAACCTGGCGGGCGCAAGCATGGCGGCCGCAACGCCCACTCGAGAACCGAAAACGGACAACTCACTAATCGACGTGTCGTGGTGGGGGTTCTGTCCAACCCCGATCCTTGCGCGCAGCGGCCTTCTCGTCCGGGGCTCTCTGGGCGGTCCGACGCCTCCCTGGGGCTCTCCCTGGCTGCCCAGGGCTTCCAAGACGCTCCAGGAAAACCACCAAGATAGCTCAGCCTTGCCTCACGGGGCACCCAACAGCCCCCGAGAAGCGCCCAAAAGGTCCCAAGAGGCCTCCAATAGGCTCCAAGACTCTCCCACGACGCTCTCCAGGAGGGCCTCGACAAATCACAACGATGTCTTGTCCAACGTGTCTCGATTTCCGCGTTCTTCGGTAGAAGATCGTCCACTTGCGTTCGTCTAAGGCCCACATGGGCCCACCGAATGCCCCAAGAGGGCTCCGAATCCGCGCAGGACGGTCCCAAGAGAGCCCCAAGCTGGGTCAGGAGATCATCCCGAAGGGCCCCAACTGGCCCGAAAGGGCCCCTAGACAACCCACGAACGCGTCAAGGCAACTCCACGACGGCCCGAAGAGGGACCCCGATGGCCAAGAGAGCCCCAAGACGGCCTAGAGGAAGACGGCCCAAGAAGGCCGCGGGACGGCCCAAGAGGGTCCCAAGGGACCCCCACGACTGCCCAACAGGAGCCCAAGACAACCCCAAGACTGCCCCCAGAAGCCCAACGAGAGTTCCTAAAGAAGTGGAGACGAGAGGTGTCACATGTATCGGCCTTCTGGGCGTTGCTCAACGAATCGCCACATCAAGTGCCTCGCTGGCACGCTTGTGGATAAGCCGCAGACGCCTGAACAATGACTGTGCAACGGGCAAGTTCGACATATTAATGTTGCTGTCGATATGGGATCGTGAATGCGGTGCGTGCTTGCCATGATCCCCTTCGAACGCGCGGCGCTCGACCCTGAGCTCCCGAAGTCTAGAACAAATAGCGTGCTGGAATCCGACTGTTTCCTTCATCTTGTTCGTAACGAGCGACACCGTTATAACTGCCCTGGCTGTGCTTCTAATAATCACAATATCGGTAACACACGTGCCAGATATGCCACTGCTGGAGGGAAGCCAGAACGGCCAATCGGGGGGAGAGATATGTGAATATAGCTTGAGTCACCTTTCTAAATCAGGGAGGGTGGGGGATGCTCTGGAGACGCAGCGGTGGAACATTAATGTCTGCACCAACGTGTGAATCAACCAACCTTTCGAATCTCTCAGCTGAACTCGCCTGACATCTACTAGCACCCTGGACGCGATCTCGAACAACAGGTCATCACTCTTGCACATAGTCGGGGCGCTGACCTAAGGAACCCCAAGTAAGGAACGAGGCCCCGTTTCCCCAGAAGATAAATTTCGCGTTCCCATCGACAAGCTAAGGACAACCTGATGCAAACTGTGAAGCTATTAAGGAACACGGAGCCCCTCCCCAACGAACAGAGTTCCTTCTTCAGCGTCCCGACTGTAACGAGTTCCAAGTAAAGACAAGAAGAGCCTGACGGTCCAAGCTCAGCATGCCCTGAGCAAATAAACGAGCCGACTCCACCTGGCACGAGTCAGAAATGTCGCACAATCTGCATGTTGACATGCTCGCATTTCTGATGCCAACGTATGGACAGAAACCATGCATACTTGTCTTGACTACGCTGGTATACGCATCTCGACTCCACATGACTCTATGCCAACGTCACCAGGGCGGGGCGTGCTAAACACGAATTCTGCGAATGCCGAACCTCCGCAAATCGTTTCGCATCCCCCGCCATCTGTCATCCTGTCATAGGCAAGGCGTGATCAACATCTGTTGCGGGCCTGGGCCCAATTTACTGGATCGACTGGGCGTCCTTCCTCCCGCGACGACGGACAAACAACATCTTACGACCATTGACCCTGTCTGCCGAGGGAGGTTCAGTCTGCTCTGTCCACCTTCTCGATGTCACGCCCAACTCGACTAACTATGCTTCCCTCCGAGCGGGGGATCTCTGTCACCACCAGCTCTGGGGCTGGTTCCTGATATGCCACCCCCATACTAACATCGGACTGATACGAACTGGTGACTGTACATGCTTGAGGTTCGTACCAGCGTGCAGTAGATTCGAGAATCGTGCCTGTAGGTCATCAAATGCGAACACCCCGTCGAAGTTACATAATAACGTGTGCGATGGCTGAGTTTGTACGAGCGGCGCTGGGATTGTACAACATAAGCTCTTCCTGGGGGGGACAGGATGGGAGCCAATCGCATGCTTCACCAGCCAGAGTCGTCGAAATGCGCATGCCGCCACACACCTAAACTTGAAGTAAGTACCGATGGGGCCGAGTAAGCAAAACATGGCGGTTGCACTTGAAAGCCGTTTTCTTCCTCATCTAGCGCGCGGGACAGGCGCTCTCAACGACGGGGGGGAGCAAGGGGAGGAGGAGGAGGAGGAGGAGGAGGAGGAGGAGGAGGAGGAGGAGGAAGAGGAGAAGGAGGAGGAGGAGGACGAGAGGACGAGGAGGAGGAGGAGGAGGAGGAGAGGAGGAAGAGAAGGAGCTATTTTGGCTCAAGGAGGACGAGGAGGCTAAAGGCTGTTGATTTGGACGTCGCCCTTCTTTCATCTTTGTTGTCGTCGTCCTGTGCCCCTTGGCCGCCGATGCTCGCTTCATGCTGCGGTCATGCGGTGCTGGCGCCTCGCGAGGTGGCGGCCTTTTTCTTGTGTGGGGTCAGAACGATGCGTTGCAAGTGGCGTGCGGCCGCTCTCCTCGCACGGGGAACACTACATCCGGCCGTCCGACTGAGGCATGACATCACGGCCGCTTCCGGTTTCGGGAAGCTCGTCGTCGGAATCGCTGCCCCCTCCGCAATAATGCTGGTTCCTGCTGGTGGCGCTTGCCCTGGTGTGCCATGTTGCCGCAGGGCAGCTCAGATTACGGCGCAATGCAAAGGCCAGGCGCTCGGCCGGGGCACTGCCACTGGCTGGCAATCGCGCTGGACGCGGAGGTGGGCGTGGGGCGTGGGGCAATCCGGGGTGTCCCTGGCTGCTGTGCTGCTGCCCGGGCGGCGGGGCCCGGTTGTCGGGCGCTGGGCTAGCCGTTTGGGCTCCAGTGTGCTTCCTGCCTCAATCGCCACTTGGCGTTGAGGCGTCCCCCTCCTCGGACTCCTCCTCCTCCCCCCCCTCCCCGCCTCGACCGCCACTTGGCGTTGAGGCGGTCCCCCCCCGTCCTCGTCCGCCCCCGCCCCTCCCTCCCGACCTAAACGCCTCTCTCTCTATCTCCCTCTCTCTATGTCTCTGTCTCTGTCTCTCTCACTCTCTCTTTGACTTTTCCTTCCCTCCCTCCCCCTCCCCTTCCGCGTGGTGGCGGGGGGTACCTGGTGGAGGAATAGGCAGGGACGCGACTTCTACGTGGCCCCCCACAGGACCGTGGCGACCGACAGCGCGGTCTTCTGGCTCCCAGTTAGGGCTCCCAAACTGCCCGCGCATTCGCGAGGACGTGCCCAAGGGGGACTGGGGCGAGCAGAGGGCACTTGCCCAGCCGCCGACCGCCGCCCCGACGCACGCGCAGCCCAACCATTCGGCGCGGGGCTGGGCACAGCACTCGCTGCCGCTCGGGGGTGGACAGTCCAGGACCTGCTTTGCCCAGAGCAGGCCAGACTCCCCACTCGGGGTTTTCATAACCAGAACCGGAACCAGGAGGAGGAGGAGGAGGAGGAGGAGGAGGAGGAGGGAAAGGAAGAGAAGGAGAAGGAGAAGGCGGAGGAGGAGGAGGAGGAGGAGGAGGAGAGGAAAGTCGGAGGTACCAGGGCAAAAGCCTGGAGCAGCGCTCAAGCCAACCTGCCACAGGCCAGCCGTTGCGCGCATCAAGAGGCTGGGAAAACGGGAAGAAATCGAGATCTGAATGCCTTATGGCCCAAATGGGCACACACATGAGTCCACCGCGTGAGGTGAAAGGAGAGAGGAGCTAGAGGAGGAGGACGACGACGAGAGCAGGAAACATTAACGGGAATCGGCCTCACATCGAGGATAGGCTAGTAAAACCAGAATCGATATGTTGCTCACCGCAGGCTCCAGTCAGGATTAACAAACCATGCCCCCCTTCGAACAGCAGAAGCAAGCACAACAGATGGGGGGTGATGATGATGATGATGATGATGATGATGATGATGATGATGATGATGATGATGATGCTCATGATGATGATCATGATGATGATGATCATCATGATGATGACAATAATGATGAGGAGGAGGACAAGACGAGACGAGGAGGAATATGACGAGGAGGGAGAGACACGACAAACTAAATTAGACGATACGAATCACCCCAATCATGGTATCGGCTCCATGCCAGCAGCGGCAGCGGCGGGAAGCAACCGACACAAGCTGAAATCTCCGCAGGGCTGACCAGGCCCCCACGAGACTGACATTCAGAGAACGGGCAAAAAGGAAAAATCGGGGGAGCGGCGGGAGACAGAAAAAACGAGAAATTGCTGGAGCGGGGCTGCTTGACTGCAATTTGGATGAGGCACCGGGCCCGCGGGTGGCCCACGACCGTCGCGCGGATATAGCCGCGGAAGGCAGCGGATCACTCACCGCCCGGGAGCCCATAGCGCCAAGCATCATGTACTTTGAAAGCGCGTTGACCCCAATCGCGCGCAGGGCGGCCACGTCAGCAGTGGCCGCGGCCGTCCTGGCCTGCAGTGGGAGAGAGCACTCATCTGGGAGAACGCACAGGGCATCCACCAGGCAAAACTCCGCTGGGGTTCTGTGAGGCCCCGTCTCAGATCAAGAACAGGAGCGCTGTGTGAACAGTCGCTGTGCGACCACCGGTGTAACAGTTCCGCAAGCAATGCTTGCGCTTGAGAGCTCTTACTCACTTTAAAGTAACTGGGCCCCAATGTCGCTCTGGTCGCCGCCCGTCGCCGCCGTCGCCGCTGGGCCCCAGCGTCGGTCCAGCCAACTCGTCGCCGCCCATCGCCGTCGCCGCGGGGCACCAGTGGCGGTCCGGCCTGCTCGTCGCCGCCCGTGACCGCCCACCGCCGCGCTGCTACGCATGGCTTTGCACTGCTTTGCACTGCTTTGCACTGCTTAGCCCTGCTTAGCATTGCTGTGCATTGCGTGGCGCCACATAATTCGGTTGCACCACATGGATGGCGCCACCTAGATTGCAAGACATCATTGCTTTGGGTCTACCCTGGCTAACAAGACTCGCGTTGCCTGTGCGGAGGCGGCAACGTCGATTGGGAATCATGCGGCTTCTCTCTGTGACCCCTGAATCCAAGTCAAACCTCAGAATTGAAGCCCGTGCCTAGAGAGAGCGCCATATCCTTACAGCCTGGGGTCTTGTTTCTGAGCCAGAACGCACACCGAACGTACTACATAACTCTGGCCAGTAGAATCAGAAAGCGCCGCACCCGCAGTCTTGGGTCGTTTTTCTGTGCCTGTGCGCACCTCGGCACCCAGAGCTGTGGCACGCGTCGGGGCGAGAACAACGGCTACCACAGCCAAGTCATGAAAGCACAAGACTTCAAGCGTTGCTATCGGGCTTTCCTGGAAACAGCAGCTTGGAACCACAACCATGGTGAATCCCCAAGTAAGGCCGGCAACGGCGTCCCGGCAACGGTGAATCTCCAAAGGCCCCTGGAGGCTCTAGATGCTCCTGGGGGCTCAGAAAGTCAGCAACCGACAAAACCTTCGATCCGTGATATTCCCATCGGCTGCTCGCTGACCTCGCCCGGGCCTGTCTAACTGCTCCTGGTCGGCACGGAGTCGTCGTCGTCCTCCTCCTCCTTGTCCTCCACCTCCTTCTCCTCCTCCCAGACGTCCGCCGATCTGATTTTTTCAATGCGCGGCCACAAAGGTCCCTTCCCCTTCCCCAGGGCCAGTTTTTTCGCCCCAGATCCATTTCTGATGGCCCTGGGCCCGAAAACGAGCCCCAGAGGCCGAAATCGATGAAAAGCGCTCGGATTGGACAAACCAAACCGTGGGAGGTCTGGGCCCTCCTCCTCGACTCTCGCCGACACAGAGATTCTCAGACTTTGCGGCACACCCATGGGGGGGAGGGAGAGGGGGCAGGCCTTGGCTTCCAGCCTTCTCGGAAGCCTTTTGAGCCTCCACCGAAAACACAAACGGCTTCTCAGGAAGGCGCCGCCAGGGTCCCAGAAACGAGCCCGGGGTCGCAGGCGCGGAGGCCGGTAATTACCGGCGGGGCGCGCCGCGTGCGGGGCGCGAAGACGAATCGAAAAGACGAGGGCGGCCGCGGAGGAAGAAGGAGAAGGCAGGCCCGTCCACCGAGAATCGGCAGGGCAGAAGCCTAGCCCGGATTGGGAACTCCCCATCGTCCAAAGCCTGGGAGCTCCTCCCCTCGACGCCCGACGACGGCGGCGACTCCCAAACGACGACTGCGGCGGCGACCCGGTCGGGGCGGCCGGAGCCCAGCGCGTAGGCAAGGTGCGGCTGCTGCCGCGAGAAGCCCCTGCGGGGGAAAGAAGGGGGGGGGGGGAGAGGGAGAAGATGGGAGGCATGAGGTCGAAATGTGAGCGGGCGGGGGGATCGGATCGACCCTGCAGGAGGAAGCTGACGCTCCGCAGGGCCGTCTGGTCCCCCCACACACCTGTGGGAGGGGGGGGCGCAAGTGTGGAGCTAAACGCTCAAAATCTGCGAGGGCAATATTTATTTTCCGCCATGCCCAGCGGATAAAAACTGCCCAGGCCCCAACCTTCCACCCTGGCTGGGGGCTCAAGATTTGTGCTTCCTTGACATCCGCCGGCTCCCTTGTGGGGCCATCATGCTGCGTGGGTTAGGCTTGCGGTGCTGCTCCCTGTTCCAGTTCCAGTTTCAAGTCTCCCGTTTTGTAGATCTACTTTCTACTTCCTTCTGCAATTTGCTCCTGTCCGCGCGGGAGGGGGGGGCAAACCGGCAATTTACCACGCCCCCCACGGGGTCCCAGAATTCCCTGGGGCTCTAGGAATCCCCAGGAGGCCCCAGGAAGGCGCAGGGTCCGCAAATCCTCGCGGGCTGCCCACAAACGGCGCAAGCTCGGAGGCCCAGCGGCAAAAGAACACATTCCAAGCTACGGCCGGGAACTTTTGGAGAGCGTACGGCCGCGGCGGCCCCGGCGACGCGCCATGCCCTGCGAGCGGATAGCGTGTCTCTCCGCTCCGCGGGGCGGGAAGCTCGGAAACGCTCGGGATGTGGACGCTTGGGGACCGGGAAGTAGATAGCGTGTCGCGCCGAAGGGCGGTGGGCCAGAGCCATTGGAGCGATACGTTATCCAAAAGTTCCTGGCCCTGGCAGAGTTGAGCCGTGCAGCTAATCGAAGCGCGCCTCAATGAATCCTGTCTGCCAGACTCGCGATTCGAGCGCACGATTTTAGTCAATGCTGCTACCGCTGGAATGGCTACAGTGGGAGTGGTACCCCCGATCCTGCAAGTAGCCAGCCAATGCAGTCAATGCTGCTTCCAGTGGGTCAGGAGAGGTGGCGACGGATAGAAGGAGGCGTCGTGTGGAGGTAATGATATACAAGACGGTCCGCACGCCACAGCTGGCACAGCGATCGGAGGATGCTTTTGAGGGTCTACTTCGGGGCTGTTAGATTTGAACGAGATATGGAGACTGATCCCGTACAAAACACGGACAATTAATTTGAAGGGGGGTCATGCAACATTCTCCCGGCGAAGGGCCCAGCCATATGCGGATGGGAGTAATGCAATTGTGAGTATCGTCTTCGGAACAACTCCCCATGGGGCCACGAAGCGTGTCAAGGCGTGCTGGAATGGGTGGGGGGACGCATGTGAGCACTGCTACTGGGACCTTCGGTGGAGATCCCTATGGGACCACGAAACGTGTGAGAGGTGTGCCGAAATGGGTGGGGGTGACGCATATGAGCACTGTGACTGGGGCCTTCGGTGGAGCTCCCTATGGGGCCACGAAACGTGTGAAGGGTTTGCCGACATGGGCGGGGGGGCGTATGTGAACACTGCCGCTAAGGCCTCTGGTCGGGGCCCCCCGCTACGGCCTTCGGGGGCCACGAAGCGTGTGAGGGGTGTGCCGAAATGGGCGGGGGGGGGGGGCGCGTGTGAGCACTGCCACTGGGGCCATCGGTGGAGATCCCGATGGGGCCACGAAGCGTGTGAGGTGTGTACAGACATATGCAGGGGCGACGCATGTGAGCACTGCCACTGGGGCCTTCGGTGGAGCTCCCCATGGGGCCACGAAGCGCGTGAGGGGTGTGCCGAAATGGGCGGGGGGGGGGGGGGTACGCATGTGAGCACTGCCACTGAGACCTTCGGTGGAGATCCTCGTGGGGCCACGAAGCATGTGAGAGGTATGCCGACATGGGCGGGGGGGACGCACGTGAGCACTGCCGCAGGGGCCTTCGGTGGAGCTCGCTATGGGGCCACGAACCGTGTGAGGGGTTTGCCGAATTTTGGCGGGGAGGCGCATGTGAGCACAGCCGCTGGGACCTTCGGTGGAGATCCCTATGTGGCCTGTGTGGTCACGAAGCGTGTGAAGGGTGTGCCGATATGGGCGGTGGGGGGGGCGCGTGTGAGCAGTGTCACTTGAGCCTTTGGTGGGGCTCCCGATGGGGCCACGTCACGTATGAGGGGTTTGCCGAAACGGGCGGGGGGGGGCGCATGTGAGCACTGCCACTGGGGCCATCGGTGGAGATCTCTATGGAGCCACGAAGCCCTTGAGTGGTGTGCCAAAATGAGCGGGGGGACGTATGTGAACACTGCCACTGGGACCCTCGGTACAGCTCCCTATGGGGCCACGGAACGTGTGAGGGGTTTGCCGAACTGGGCGGGGGGGCGCATGTGAGCACTGCCACTGGGATCTTCGGCGTAGATCCCTATGGAGCCACGAGGCGTGTGAGGTGTGTGTGCCGAAATGGGCGGGGGGCACGCATGCGAGCAGAGTCGCTGGGGCCTTCGGTGGAGCTCCCGATGGGGCCACGAAACGTGTGATGGGTTTGCCGGAATGGGCGGGGGGGACTCATGTGAGCACTGCCACTGGGGCCTTCGGTGGAGCTCTCCTATGGGGCCACGGAGCGTGTGAGGGTGTGCCGAATTAGGTTGGGGAGCGCATGTGGCTACTGCCGCTGGGGCCTTTGGTAGAGCTCCCTATTGGACCACGAAGGGCATGATGGGTGTCCCGACATGGGTGGGGGGTACGTATGTGGCCACTGCCACTTGGGCCTTCGGTGGAGTACCCCCCACGGAGCGCGCGCTGGGCGTCCCGAAATGGGTGTGGGGGTACGCATGTGGCCACTGCCGCTGGGCCCTTCGGTAGAGCTCCCTATGGGGCCACCAAGCGTGTGATGGGTGTGCCGACATGTGTGCATGGGCGTATTCGATCACTGCTACGGAGGCCTTCGGTTGAGCTCCCTACGGTGCCACGAAACCTGTGAGGGGTGTGTGTGTGTGTGGACATAGGCGCGGGGGACTCATGTGAGCACTACCACTTGGGCCTTCGGTAGGGCTCCCTCTGGTGCCACAAGGCATGTGAGGGGTGTGCCGACATGGGTGGAGGGGGGCACGCATGTTGCCACTGCCACTTGGGCCTTCGGTGGAGATCCCTACTGGGGCCACGCAAAGCGTGATGGGGTGTGCCAACATGGGTGGGGGTCACGCATGTGGCCTCTGACACCGGGGCCTTCGGTGGGGCTCCCTGTAAGGCCACGACACGTGTGAAAGGTGTGCCGGCATGGTTGGGGGGAGCGCATGTGGCTACTGCCGCTGGGGCCTTTGGTAGAGCTCCCTATTGGACCACAAAACGCATGATGGGTGTCCCGAGATGGGTGCGGGGTACGCATGTGGCCACTGCCACTTGGGCCTTCGGTAGAGTTCCCTGTGGGGCCACGGAGCGCGCGATGGGTGTCCCGAAATGGGTGTGGGGACGCATGTGGCCACTGCCGAAACGTGTTATGGGTGCGCCGAAATCGGTGGAAGGGACGAATGTGACCACTGTTACTGGGGCCTTCGGTGGGGCTCCCTCTGGAGCCACAGAACTTGTGAGCGGTGTGCCGGAATGGTGGGGCGGGGCGCATTTGGGCACTGCCACTGGGGCCTCTGGTGGAGCTCCCTATGGGGCAACGAAGCGCGTGAGGGGTGTGCCGAAACAGGCGCATGCGGAGGGCAGAGGCAGGGATGGGAGGAGGGAGGGGAGCAGCGGGAGGAGTGGACGCGGGGCGCCACCTCTTCCAAGCGAGGGGTTCAACACAGCAAGATGGCTGAGAATAAAGGACATGCGACAAGAGTCGCTAGGTGACGCAAGATGGGAAACGAACGTGAGATGTCTTCTGCCCTCCTCTCCCCTCCCCTACAGTCAACCCGTATAAGAAAGACGCACGATAATGATGCAAGGGCCTTGGAAGGCCATGCCGACACTTTGCGAGCGGAGCGCGGCCAGCGAAAGCAGCCAAGGCTGGGCCGAAGGGGGAAGATGCAAGGGTAACCTTGGAACGTCGCTCATCCCCACTATGCAGTCTGACTGTAGTCCATGTTCCTATGTCCCCTGTGTACAGGGTCCCCGAAATCCCCGCCCTTTCCCCAGGGCCGGTGCTTCATCCCGAATCGTTCTGACGGTCCCGGGGCTCGGCGAGGGCGCCCAAAGGCCGATGACAGCAGAAAAGCCTTCCGCCGTTGCATTTCTCGACGCGAGCATGGCGTGGGTACAGATTGACTACCTACCAGACCAACCCCAACCCAACCCGAAGACCCGAATTTCGGGTTGGGGGGGGGTAAGGGTTCCACACGTGCTTTTCCGATGTTCCCCGACCCCCCCCCACTGGAAATCGAGGGTAAATCTGAGCCTTCGGGTTGGGTTGGGGTGGTTTGGTGGGTGGTGAAACATGAGATGGTCATCCTGGATCCTGAGGGTAACCTTGGCAAGTCGCTCGTCCTTCCTGTGAGCGTTGACTGTAGCCCCTTGTGCCCGCCCGCTCTCCTCTGCCCCTTCGCCGCTGCTCCCGTGCTCCCCCGCGACCGCCCAACGGGGCTCGAACTGAGCCGTGTTTTTATCCGTTCTCCGTTTGTTCTCGTGCCCCCTTCTCGAGGGGGGAGGAGGGGGGGGGAGGGGCAAGCTAGGTGCGCTCGCGTCAGATCTGACATCATACCCCTCCCTCCCATCCCTTACCATGGCGCAGATTCCCTCTCTACTCAGTCGGATGTCGAGGTGGGCAATGATCCCGAAAGGGTACGCGATGCATTGTAGAGCACGGCATGGCATGGCGTAGAAGAGCACCGCAAAGCGTAGTATCAACTTAGCATTGCATTGCATGCCGTGGCATGGCACGGGAAATGACGCAAGCGCTGCAGCGGGAGCACGAGTCGAAACAAGCAGAAGCGCGGAAATGAGGCCAGCGCTGCAGCGGGAGCACGATTCGGAAAGAGCGGAAGCACGGAAATGAGGCCAGCGCTGCAGCGGGAGCACGATTCGGAACGAGCGGGGCCCGAAAATGAGGCCGGTGCCTCAGCGAGAGCAGCATTTTGAAAAAAAATGCAGGCGAAAACCCAACTCCGGGGAACCCTGTGTAAAAAAACAATACACGGGGGGGGGGGTCGGCCGGTTTCAAACCGTCATCAGAGGAAGAGGGAGAGTAGTATTCATATTGAGTAATTGTCGAGGGAGGGAGGAGGGGAGAAAAAGGAGGAGAGAGGATGGGGGGAAGGAGGGAAAAGGGAGAGGCAACTTCGTTTCTCCACTGTCTTGTTCTGTCTTCGTTCCCCCCTTGCTGCGAAAGAGATCGACACGACAACTGTCCAAGACGTCGCCAACACGCCGTTTAACTCGCGCCCTGCCACCCGGAACAGCAGCACATGTGCCACGGCAAGAGAGACGTGGGTGGGTGGAGAAGCCTGCTGCTAGTCTCGCTGCTGAAGACAAACACTGCCTCCGCCAATGCCGCGTGCTGCTCCAAATACACAGACACCGACTTCTGCAAACGCTCGAAAACCTGAACGGGGGCTCCGGGTCCTCAGCCGCTACCTCCCGCTCTGCTTCAAATGCCACACAGCCGGGGTACAACCATCACTGCATATTGAATACAGAAAGAAGGACGTACAAACCGCGCGGGACTCATCGACTTATCAAATGCATGCGGCCCCGTCTGCACGAATCGTGGAAAATGAATGCCATCCGTTGGACAAAATACATCTTATCACATACGACTGCGAGAATGCGCACGGGCATGCTAAACGTCAACATCGAGACGCACTGAGAGAGACCTGGCTTCACGCAGCTTCGGACTTTGGCGAGGAACTGCATAACTAGAAGAGAAACTTCGTGTACGACTTGGACCGAACTATGCCGGCGCATCGTCGCCCTCGCGCAGCGTCGCCTCGCCAGCACGCACGACACGAACCGAAACCTGGCTGGGGTCACTTTGTTATCACCCCACAGCCTCCGACGATTACCGATGATAGTGCCCTTCTGGTGGTTCGGATAGGGGGCCACATGCGAACCCTACCCCTACCCCTCACGATTTCTGAGGGGAGGGTGGGGTTCACTTCGCTCGGGAGCTCCCGAACGGAGTGAACCCCACCCTCCCCCTCAGAAATCGTAGGGGGTAGGGGTAGGGTTCGCATGTGGCCCCCTAGGTAGTGGAGATCTGGGGGGGGGGCATCGGTGCAACTTCGGTTTGCATCCAGTCGAGCCAGTCCAACTCTGCTAATTCCTGTGACCACTCACCCCCTGCATCTTCTTCTATTATGACATTTGCTCTTCTAACGCTTGAAACCCTCCTGACTTTTACACATCTTCAAGAGCTGTAACTCTTCTAATTCGGTTTGCCCTTGTAGCCATTCTGAACAGCGTGGCCTTACTGTTTTACCAATGCGTGTTAGAACTCTTCTGACTCGTTTAACTCGTCAAACTGTTCCTACACCTTCTGACAATGGAAGGCCAATGGGACAACGGAACCACAAGGCAACGACACGACAGCCATGGGACATCCTCCAGGCACAATCTTGCGACAGCCGTACAGGGGAACCGCGGCACAACATCGGCCACACGACTCTTCCTAACTGTTCTATTCCGTCTAGCCGTTCCAACCCTTCTGATTCCTTTCACTCGTTCAGCTCTTCTACATTCTATGATTCTTCCAACTCTTCTCATGATTCTGATGGCTACCTGTCTATCCATCGTGCCACAACCAACGGCACCACAGGACAACCACATTGGGCGATCACGGGACGACCGTGGGACAACCACAGGACAACGGGCAACCACAGAACATCCAGAATAACCGACCGCAAGAGAACGGCGGATCAACACGGGCACTCCGCGGCCCCAGTGGGGGGGTGAGTGGGGGGAGCAGCTCAATTCGACAAGAGATGTGCATTGCCAGGGCAAGACATCGCGCGGCGTCGCTTCGCCCGTTCGCGCGACACACATTGAAACCAGAACCGAGTTTCTGGTATGGGGGCTCACCGATTCTCTTCGACCTCACCCGCACAGAAGCGTGTGATTCAGCTGCCTGCGATGACTGCGACGATCGGAAAAGCAGCGACGGATACAGTCGAGGCTGATTAGCAGGTCGACCCTTCTACATTCCTGCGGCAATGTGGCTGGCCCTCGGAAGGGTCTCGTGTCCTCTCGCGTGTCCTCTCCAATCAATCCCGACTGCAGAAGGGATTGATGGACGCGTGGAGCTCTGAACAATCCCACTCCCGCCCTGACGCAGAGCTACGGCAAGGAAGGTACGCGCCGCTTTTTCGCGTGACCGCGAGATCACAGCCACCGCGGGGCAGATGGGGAGAAAACGACGAAGGCGCGCCCAATGACATTGGTCATGGAGCGGGGAGGCGGGAAAGCTGCCGGCGTGGCAGGCCCAGACCCCGGACGTCATGATTGTTTCGCAGCGCGGGCCTCCAGAGGTCTGGACCCTTTCCCAGGGACTGGTCTCTCACACTGCATCGTGTTTGTTGACGGCCCCGAGGCCCAGCAAGGGTCCCGGGACCCCGGAAGCCAAACCACGTGAAAAACCTGCCGCCAGTAATTGTTCACGACGCGAGGGGGTCCGAGCAAACAAACCGCATGCGTGGCGGACGACGAGGGGATCCATAGGCGACGGCGAGAACCCCTCAACAAGCCTGGTCGGCTAGCGGTGCTGCTCCTGGTATGTGGCGACATCCGAGCCCCATCCCAACCAACTATATACTCTCCTGAATCGATGGGGGGCCGCGGGGGAAGAAAGGGTAGGATAGCAAAGGGCGGGGTAGAACATCAACTCACGTAGTTGGTTTTCCTGCGGCGCCTGGCGCCTGGAGGCGCCCATGTATGAAGGAATGGGCCGAAACCAGCTGCATGCAGCAAATGTCGTAGCCCCCCCCTTTCCCTGTCCTACACTTGCGTCCAGCCCGACCATCGAGTTGCCTGGATCGTGGATCGGCGAGTGTAGGGCTCGGACTTCGCCACGTGCTCGGCGGAGTCCGAACCCCACTCCCGCCGCCCATCGAGTTGCCTGGCTCTGAGGTAGGCAGAGGGGAAGGCTTCTCAGAAGTAGGCTGCTTGTCAGGAGGCACTGGTCCTACATCTACAGATCAGGCCCGCGTCTTCTAAGAAACAGTGGTGCTCCTAAGAAGCCTTCCCCCCTCCTCCTACCCCCCTCTGCGCGAAGCTGATGGATTGTGGATCGGCGAGGGCAGGGTTCGGACTTCGCCACGTGCTCGGCGAAATCCGAGCTCCACCCCCGCCGCCTATCGAGTTGCCCAGAGCGTGGATCGGCGAGGGTACGTACCGGAGGTTCATGCGGCATCACAATAATTTTTGACGTCGCGTCGATCGTTCAACCTTGAACCGATCGCGGCCCCGATCGTTCGACGTTGAAATCAATCGGGTCCAATGGCGTTACCGCGTCCAAATGTGCTTCCGCGTCGCAGAATTCATCCCTGAACGCCTTCGCCAGCATCGCCTGCGCGCCAACGCCGCATGAACCCACCGTAGGGTTCGGGCTTCGCTGAAGGCGCCCAGGGACACACCAAACAATAACCACAAATCCCAGGGTTTCCCATATTCTTCAATATTTTCTGGAGTTTCGTCATTTCCCCGTATTTTCCGGGGAATAGATAATGATTTGTGTTTGTTGTTTCCTTCCTGATTCGCCACGTGCTCGGCGAAGCCCGAGAGCCCAACCCCCCTGCCGCCCAGCGCGTTTTGCCAGGAGCGTGGATGTCGGCGAGGGCAAGAGGGTGAGGAGGAATGGAGGGGGAGGAGGAGGAGGAGGAGGAGGAGGAGGAGGAGGAGGAGGAGGAGGAGGAGGAGGAGGAGGAGGAGAAAGAGAAGGAGGAGGAGGAGGAAGAAGAAATGGGCGGGAGGCGGGGGAGGAGAAGGAGGAGGACGTTAGGGGCAGGGCTCGGATTCCGCCGCCGAGGCTCCCTGCCCGCGGGATTCTCCACCACGCGCACCGCCAGGTCGCAAGCCCCATCGGCCTGGATGGCCGAGTCCTGCTGGCGATTGTGACCGGGCGGCCTCTCTGGGGAAACAAAAAAAACACCAGGGCCCCCTGAGCCAGGACATTGCAAACCAGGACTTTGAACATTTCATCTTGGGGTTTGGGGAGGAATCGTGGAACATGTTTCGGCCCACGCCTGCAGTTTCCTCGGGCGCGCCAAAATCCTGGATTATCGAAGTCCCCGTAGGGGGGCCTCTGAAGATACTGATGCCGCTGCTCCCCACACCACTCCTGGGGTGCGTTTGGACCAGAATCCCTACGTGGGCGAGTCTGGCCGTGGCGACGCAACGAGGGCTTCCCAGGAGGTCCCACAAGGCGAAGGCGAGGGAAGGGCGGCATCGGCACCTTTTCCGCCCCTGAGCCGCGGCGCAAACATACATTTTCGGAGGTCCGCGCGGACATCTTGGATCTCGGGCAATCATTCATGGGGGGCGGTAGATGTGGGGGTAAAACAGGTGCACCTTTCGTGCACCTTTCGTACCCCTTCGGGGCCCTATGGGGGCTCGTTTAGGGCTCCTTTAGGCTTTAGGGCCCCTTTCGTGCAACCCTCGACGCCCCCCAATTGATCGCCCCCCCTTGCCGAACGCCCAAGGATCAGCGCTGGACCCCCCTCCCAGGCGCGCGGGGCGCGCCAAGGGCGGCGCTGGAGGCGCCGCCTTCGGGGTCCAACGCAGGTCCAGGACATCCGCTCGGACCTGCGAACGTTTATGCTCGGCGGCGGGCCCGGGGGGAAGTGAGAAGGCGCGGGCCTTCTCAGAAGGCTCGGAAATCCCGCAGCCTTCTGAGAAGTCTTCTGGGCCTTTCCCGAAAACACAGAACACCTCTCAGAAGGCCACAAACCTTCTGAGAAGCCCGGACGCCTTCTGAGAGGGCCTTCTCATTCTCGCTACCCCCCCTCCCCAGACCCCCGACATCAGGATTCTGTTCATGACGTCGGGCCCCAAAAATCTCGACCCAGTCCACTGGACCGGATTTCATCCAGAACCGTTGTTTGACGGCCTCCGGAGGCCCGGCGTGGGCCCCTGGAGGCCGAAAACATGTTATATACAAACTCCCGTCGTGATCTCTTCCTGACTCGAGGGGTCTGGGTCGCTCGCCGCCGAGCATGTGCAAATATTCTCTTGCACGGTGTGTCTGGAGCTCCGACCACTTTATTCCGCGTCGCACCGCATCCCCCCCCCCCTCTCCGCCCCCCCTCCCACCCCTCCCCAGCATTCCCCAGCGGAGCAGTTGATCCTCCGCCCACTGCCCCCTCCGCCCCGACCGTTTTGTTCCGTGCCGCATCGCGGCCCCCCCTCCCCGCCCACCTCCTACCCCTCCTCAACGGCCCAATGGAACTTCCGCCCAGTGCCCCCTCCGCACAGACCAATTATCCCGCGTCGCACAGCGCCCGCCCCTCCACGGCCCCCTCGTGCCCCTCCGCAGCGATCCCCAGCGGCCCAATGGAACCTCCGCCCAAGGCCCATTCCGCCCCGACCATTCTATTCTGCGTCGCACCGCACCCTCCCCCTCCCCTCCCCTCCCTGCCCCCCTCCCCCCTCCCCAGCGGCCCACTGGAACTTCCGCCCAGTGCTCCCCCGCCCCGACAATTTCATTCCGCGTCGCACCGTGCCCCCATCCTCCCCGCCCCCCTTCTGCCCTCCCCAGCTTTCCTCATCGGCCCGGTGGAACTCCCGCCCAGTGCCCACTCCGCCCCCACCACTTTATTATTCCGCGTCGCACCGCCCCCCCCTCCCCGACCCCGTCGTGCCCTTCCCCAGCGTTCTCCAGCGGCCCAGTGCAACCTCCGCCCAATGCCCCCTCCGCCCCGACCATTCTATTCCGCGTCGTACAGCGCCCCCGCTCCCCTCCCGGCCCTCCTCCTACTGCCCAGCGTTCCCCAGCGGAGCAGTTGATCCTCCGCGCAGTGCCGCCTCCGCCCCGACCATTTTACTCGGCGTCGCACCGCCCCCCCTCCTACCTCTCTTCAGTCTTCCCCAGTGGCCCAATGGAACCTCCGCCCAGTTCCCCCGCCGCCCTGACTGTTTTGTTCTGTGCCCCATCGCGCCCCCCCTACCTGCCCCCCTCCTACCCAATTGCCCCTCCGCCCCGACCATTGTATTCCGCGTCGCGCAGCCCCCCCCCCCTCCCGCCTCCCTCGTAGTTCCCTCCGCCCCAAATAAAGTATCCCGCGTCGCACCGCCCCCCCCCCCCTCCCCGCCCCCCTCCTGCCCCTCCCCAGCGTTCCCCAGCGGCCCAATGGAACTTCCGCCCAATGCCCCCTCCGCCGCCCCGACCTTTTTGTCCCGCGTCGCACTATGCCCCCCGCCCCTTCCCGCCCCCTTCCTACCCCTCCGCAGCGTTCCCCAGGGGTCCAGTGGAACCTCCGCTCAGTGTCCCTTCCGCCCCGACTATGTTACTCTGCGTCGCGCGCTGGGAATCGGGGAGCGGGGCGGGGAGGGAGGGCGCTGTGCGACGCGGAGTACATTCGTTGGGGCGGAGGGCGCACTGGGCGGGCGGAGGCTCCACTGGGCCGCTGGGAAACGCAGGGGCGGTTGGCATGGGGCGCGGGGAAGGAAGGGGGAGGGGTAGGAGGTTGGCGAGAAGGGGGTGTGGAGGGGTGCGACGCAAAATCACATGGTCGGGGCGGAAGGGGCATTGGGCGGAGGTTCCACTGGGCCGCTGGGGAACGCTGGGGACCCGCTGGGGAACGCTGGGGAGGGGTAGGGAGGGGGGGGCGGGGGGCGATGCGGCGCGGAGGGGGAATTTGGGCGGAGGTTGCACTGGGCAGCTGGGGAACGCTGGGGAGGGGTAGGAGGGGGGCGGGGGGGGGGGTAGGGCGGTGCGACGCAACATAAAATGGTCGGGGCGGGGACAGCACTTGGCGGAGGTTCCACTGGGCCGCTGGGGAACGCTGGCCAGCGCTGGGGAGAGGTAGTGGGAGGGCGGGGAGGGGGGGGGGGCGCGGTGCGACGTGGAATAAAATGGTCGCTGCGGAGTGAGCACTTGGCGGAGGATCTACTGGGCCCCTGGGGAACGCCGAAGAGAAGTAGGAGGGGGGGCGCGGTGCGACGCGGAATAAAATGGTCAGGGCGGAGGGGCGCAGTGGAACTTCCGCTCAATGCTCCCCTCCGCCCTGACCATTTTATTCCGCGTCGCACGGCGCGCCCCGCCCCCGCCCGCCATCCCCCCTTGTTCCCAAGCGGCCCAATGGAACCCCCGCCCGCCCCGAACCCCCTCCGCCTCCGTTTCGGGCTCCTGGGGAGTTCTTCGGATCCTCTGTGAACGTTTTTTGGGTGTTTGTTGGAGGCCTCCTGGGAGCATGTTCTTCGCGGGGGAGGGCCCTTGGAGCCTCCTCGAGCCCGCCGTGTGAAGCCCATTTTGCGGCCCTCGTTGGGCCCTCCTTCTCCGATTTCTCGCACCCTATATCCTTTCCCCGTCCTCCTCCTTCACCTCCTCCTCCTTCCCCCGCCCTTCTGTGCAAGAGCCATGGCACGCGTGCCGCTTGTTTCTTCTCCCGGGCCTCCCCATGCGGAAACCCCCGGCGGCCGTCGGCACGCCCCCCTGCGCCCCGGCGGCTTGCGGCCTCGCCCTCGCGCTGCTCGCCCGCGCCGGCCTCGCCGCCGTGGATGCCCGCTGCGGCGGCCCGCTGGGGCCCGCCGCAGCACTGCGCGGGCGCGCGGCTGCGGCGGCGGCCGCGCTCGCGAGCGAGCAGCGAGGCCTCGGGGCCTCGTCCGAGGGCGGCTCCGCGCAGCCCTGTGCGGAGGGCGCTGAGCGATGAGAAGAAGCGGGCCGCCAGCGCGGCACGCTGCAAACTGAAGGCGAGGGCGCTTGCGCGCAACCTTGCGCTGGCAGCGAGCGCGCCAGCGCCGGCGCAGCAATCGACTCCGTCTTTTTCCGTCGCTCGGCTGAAGCAAGGGTCGCCATTCTGGCCCCCGGGAGCCCCTCGTCGACGCGGCCGGGCGCAGCTCGGGAACACCGGTGCGCTAGGGCCTAGGGCCCCATGGAGGGGTCAAAGCCGTGAGGTCCGACGTGGCGGAAACATCGCAACACCGAGAACATTCACGACCGAAGCCCTAAAGCTCATCTTTCTGCGCCATCTTTCTGGCCAGATGCATCTGTCGGCTAATTGAATGCAAGAAAGACCCTGGGCAAGAGTGACCTCTGGTGCGCGGCTCTCCGGGGGCCAAATCCAAGCGTGCAGGCCAGTGCTGGGGGGACCCTGTGGGCCCACACCAAAGGTCACTCCGTCCAAATGTCACTCCTTTGGGTAGCCGAATCTGTGGCGGTCCCAAGGCCCGGACACGGGCGAAAGCGCACGATGTGAACCAAAATGCCACGCCAGAATCTCAGGGGGAACCGACTTTGAGCCCACTTGGTCGGCTACACGCAAAAGCAGCCCTGGATAAAAGTGATCTCTGGTGCGCGGCTTTTGGGGGGCGCGAAGGGACCAAACCCTGGCACGCGGGCCGCCGCTGTCGCGTCGCCTTCCGCGCTCGGGGGTGGGGGCCCATTGGGCCCGCACCAAGATGTTACTCTGACGAAAAATCATTATTTCGAGAGTCTTAGGTCGGGCCTGTCCCCCATACAGAGGGATTTGGGACGAAAAATTAAAACATAGTCAAAAATACAATGAAATACTCAACAGTTGTCAAAAAATCGTTCCCCGACTATTTTTTACTATTTTTTGATATTCCCCCTGTAGAGGGACAGGCCCGACTTAAGAGTAGTCGAACATGGGCACCGACTTGTGAGCCGATTTGGGCCGCCGTCGTCTCACCGCGATTGTCTCAACTGGCCCCTCCCCGACCTGTGCAAGCCTGCTGGCGCGCCAACCCGGCGGCGGCCCCCGCGCGTTCGCGGGCGCGGCGGCGAAGTTCTGCGAAAAGGACGGGGAAAAAGGAGGAGGAAAGGAGGAGGAGGAGGAGGAGGAGGAGGAGGAGGAGGAGGAGGACAGGAGACGGACGCATCCAGGACACACCATCCAGGTTGGCGCTGGGCCAGAGGTCCAAGAGGTGGGCGGCCAGCTTGGCGACGGCCCGTGAGACAGACGCCACAGAGGAAAGGTTGGCCTCGAGCTCTCCATCGAGGCGCGTGCAGGCGGGCTCCTGCCTTGGCAGCCTCATCGGCGAAATTGTTGCCTCGACTTTTGACCCGCCCGTCTCAGTCCATGCTGGGATCTTCTTCGCAGTGAGCTTTCATTTTGGAAATGCCTTCGAGCCGACCACTAGCACTCGCCAGGCACTGCAAAACTAGACCGCCGTAGGGTCTGATGGGGAAAGCTTCTGGGCAAGAGGCAGGGCGAATTGGTCGACGACAACTTTGCAATCCGAAACAAACTCAGCCATATCTTCCAGGATGCGCGACGCGGCAGCTGGGGCGACGCATTCAGCGGCCGCTTTCGCCGCAGGGTGAACATTGCAAACCGCGCCGTGCATGCGCGCGAGGATCTGCCCATGCTCGCCGAGCCAGGCAGCTCCCCATCCTGGGCGAGACACTTCGCGAATGGGGTGCCTGGAACAAGAGCCATCCAGGAGAAGTTTCCCCCGAATCTCCCTGAGCCCCCCTGAAGGAGGCGGGGGGCCCGCGGCCTCGAAAGCTTCGGGAAACAACTCGAGAACAACCGAATCCTGCGATTCCTGGGCAGAGCGAGGGGCGGGGGCCTCAGAGGACGGGCGGGGGAAGAGGCCCGTCTCGCAGAGAACCTTAAACCCAGGGCTGACACCAGCCCCCAGCTCGCGGCCGGCTGCGGCCCGGCAACTATGGCTCGATGTGACCAGAGCGCGCTGATTCGCAAGAGGGGCAATGCCAGGGCTGATGAATGATGGCGTCAACCTCGGCCCCGCAAGGGGGTGCCGATCTTCAACTTGATGACCTAGAGCAACGGCTCGGCTCAATGGCCAAAGCCCCCCGCGCGCGGGAGTCCTAATGGCGCCCTTCTGCTTGCAAGAACAACGCTTCGAATTTAACGCCGAAGAAAGAACGTCGAGCCATGGTCTGGGCTCGCGGCCGTACTTGCCTCCGGCCTCGTGCTCAAGAGCACGGCAAAACGCGGATCCACAAAGACGTTTCAGGCGGGCAGGAGCAACGAGGAGGAGGGGCGTCGATTCCGCCGGTCAGGGCGCAGGGCCCCCCCGCGGTCCATCCCGGCTGGCCGCCGAGAGGTGCAGGGCCCAAAGGGGCCCCCTGACAGATCTCCAAGTCCGCGGGGGGTTCTTCCAGGCGGTCTCCCAACCTTCTTGAATTTGGGCCCAGGGCGCAGTGTGCTCCGTCAGACGGGCGCGCAGGAACCATAGCTCATGGTCATGGCGAAGGCGAGGAGCGACTGACCCATGCCATGATGGATATCCTTTCGCGCGAAAGATGACGCGCAGAGAGCGGCCGCCGCGCGACGGCTTCATGGTGGATGCCGCGAGGCGCCTGACCTTCGGCAGCTCGCCGTCAGATATGCCGCGCACGTCCGCGCCGCGTTGCGGGGCTGGAAGAGCTCCGGTACGAGAAAAACCTAGTAGCACGACCGCCGATGGAGCCTCGCTGCCGCGCGACTCCCCTCGCGCCGCGCGCGGCGGACAGCCGGCGAGCCTTAGTCCTGGCACGCCGTCCGCGGGCGCGGCGGGAGGTGCCAGCGGCGCGGTCGTGACCGAGATTCACAGCCGTCTCGAGGTGGGGGCCCGCGATCTCTCCAAAGGCCTGCTGAAGCCTGCTGGAAATGACCTCGCTGCTGGTGACCATGCCCGCCTTGTCAAGAGCAGTGTGCGCATTTATCGTGCAAGAGATAGCCTGCTCGAGCTGGCTGGCAGCGCTGATCGCGTCAGCAACTAAGGGCTCTAACTTGCCAGCTCCGACCGGGCCGGCGTCGTCGAAGGAAACCGAAGGGGGCAGCGAGAGGCCGTCATGCGCTTCGATCCCAAACGCGCCGACGAGGGTGGCGGCCATGGAACAGCCAGCGACCAGGCCAGCAGCGGCGAACACTCCAGGAACGACGACCCCACTCAGAACGAAGAACCTACTAGATCGATCAACGGCGAGGCAGACCCCAATGAGTCGGGTGGAAGGTGAGCCGACGACGCCTTGCCTCGAGCAGATGCAGGGGGATCTGCTCGTAGAACCTCGAAAGGTCCCAGAAGACGGGCGCCGCGTGCTCGCTGGCCGAAGTGCTGGATTCGGCTCTGACGCTCTCGCGCCAGACAACGTCTGTGGCGGAGCGATGCTTGCCTGCGGCCAAATAGGGCCGATCATTCTTGGACTCCCCATCCAGGGCCCACAGGCGACGGAGTTCCCCCCGGGGTCGGAAAACAAAAAACAGGAAGCGGACCCCGATCGGTCGGAAACCAGGGCCCCTGTGGGAATAAGGGCGACAATGGAAGCCCAGAGTTGCCGAGGAAGCATCGCGCTAATCTCGATCACCTGCAGCGGCGCGGCGAGGCAAGACAGCGCCCCGCCCGACATGAGACCTCCTGCGGGCCCGAAACGACGGTTCCAAAACGGCTCTGCGCGAGCGCGGGGCGCCGCGCGGCGGGATCACGAGTGACTTGATGGGCGCGCCTGGCGCCCTGATTAATGCCTCCATTTAACCGCGCTGCCCAGTCCAGCAAGCCAGCTGCTTGCATTCGTCATTGTCCTTAGCCGACGCCTGAGAGATGCGCTGCTCGGCAGCGCCGGCGCCTTCGTGGTCTTCATCGGCGGCAGATCCACCGCCTAGCCAACGGGTGCCAATAGCCGCTGTCGTCTGAAACGCCTCTGAGAACTCACCTTGATTCTCATTGAGTCGGTGGGGGAATGCAAAACCCGAGCCCTTCTGCTGACCTCGGCGCTAAGCGCAGGTGAGTCTTCAGACGCATGGACAGAAGACGAGACGAAAGCCTGGAACACAGAAGATAACCATCTCATACTGTGGAGCGCAGGGTAACTGACCGATCCACGGTCGCGGCCCAACACGGGGCGCCTCCACGCGTCGGGCCCCCTGCCCCTAGCCCCGCAGAGTGGGGTAGTTATACCCGTAGTCGTGCAGAGCTCTTGCTCTACAGTGTTGGCCCAAATCTCGCGGGCCTGAGTGAGCTGAGAGGTGCGTCGGACTGGCCGGCGCGCGCTCGCTGGGGCGCTTTTCCTATGAGAGCCGGACAAGTATCGCGCGAAGGGGGGCGGGATGAGGAGCAGATCGGAACGTCGACGGGGATCGAAAGGGGCCCCGGAAGGCGGGGGGGGGCGCGCAGATCGGCCAGGCCGGCGCGAAGGCAGACCTGAGCGGGCGAGCGGGGGCCGGAGGTCGCGTCGATCAGAGCAACCGAGCAGACGGCCTGAGAGACGCCGCCAGACAGCGCAAAGTAGTCGTAGAGCCGCGGGCCTCCACTGCCGTGGCGCGTCAGACAAGATGCGGCCACAACTTGTCCTCGAAGGTTTTGGGGGGACTCGGCCTGCAGGGGGCTGCTTGGCCCCGCGTTGAAGTCCCCGCCCAGGGGCGGAGGCGTGCCCGAGATCGCCGTGTGGGAAGCCGCAGCTGATGATATCGAGGTCAGTATCTGAAAGTCCTTCACTATCACGCGCGTAGGTGGGGGAGGCGAGGAGGGACTTACCCCCAGGAGGGCGCACTACCGCTGCGAGAGCTCGGCGGGGCCGCGTGACTCCTCCATGAGACGGGAGATGAATGCCTAACCGAGTCCCCACTGGACACGCCTCCCCCTGGGCCCGTGGGCTGGGGCCCACACAGGTTTGAAGCCATGATTCAGGCGCCGAACAGAGGCCATGTCGACGGGGTCAGCATCGAAGGGCTTGCGCTCCTGATTCAGGATGATGTGAACTTCGCGCGCGTGTGTGTGTGTGTGTGTGTGCGCGTGTGTGTGCGTGCGTGTGTGCGTGTGTGCGTGTGTGTGTGTGTGTGCGCGTGTGTGTGCGTGCGTGTGTGCGTGTGTGCGTGTGTGCGTGTGTGTGCGCGTGTGTGTGTGTGTGTGTGCGCGTGTGTGTGTGGGGGCGGTCTTTCATGGGCGACCGCGCGTTGCCGTTCAGATTGGGACCCTTCAAATCAAGTAGTTGGTGAAGGAGGGGGGGGGGTCGGGCCCCCCTGGGCGGCTGACAGATGCACAGGTAGAGCCCCCCCCCCCCCCGCGGCTGCGAGGGGGGGGGCGGCCTTCCGCTGAAGCTTCGGAACTCTGGCCTTGAGAGAGGTGGGAAGGGCGGCCTCAGAGGAGAGCTCAGATGCCGAGTCAGGCGATGAGGAGCCAGTAGTCGCGGAAGCCCCTGCACTTGGCTGCGCACCTCCAGCAGCAGGGCCTCCGTCGGCGGGGGCCGGCAGGGACCGCCGCGGCTCCATCCTGCCCCATTGCGCTTCTTGCCCAGACGCTCACGGTGTTGGGCATGCTGATCACGAATGGCCTTGGCGTGGTCCAGGGCCTCCCAGAAGAGACGCTTGGAGAGCTCGGAGAGGCCCTCAGCCAACTGCTTGTGGTGACGGTCGAGCTCCTCCAAGTCCCCCTTGGAAACTTCGCGCTCGTCATCCCCGCCGTCGAAAGTGAGGATATTGCCGAGGTCGGCCTGGGAAGAGTCGAACTTGCCAGCGACGAGGTCCTCGATGTTGAGCTTGGGCGCCTCGGGAGCGGGTGCGTCAGAACGCGCCGCCGACGCCAATGTGTCCACGAGCTCAGCGTAAGACTCCTCCTGCCACGTGAGCTGGTCAGAGATGGATGCGATGTGCAGGCGCTGCTTCCCCCATCTCCGCCTCCCAATTGTCCAGCTTGTCAAGCTTCTACTGTAGCTTCTTGGCCAAACAAAGACGCCCGCACTGACATTGTGACATTCGTTGTTCCAGCGGAACGGGGGCCGCAGGACGAGCGGGGAGCTTGGAGAGCTGCCCCTGGTATTTGTTGGATGACTCCAGATCTCCAACGCGGCCTGTGAGGAGGGCAAGGCCCTGGGTGGAGAGGCCAGCCTGTGCAGCACCGCCTTGTGCTCCGCCGACGTCCGCCGCACCCGTCGGTGGAGTAGTTGCAGCAGAGAGGGGACTAGGGCGCAGAGGCTGCTGAGGGCGGTCAAGGCCAACAAGACGAATACCATCACCCTCATTATGCCGAGCACCCTGCTTCTGCCACTTCGACCCGCAAAGCTTGCACCATAACCACGGGAGCATGTTCCTGTTGCATCCGCATGTCTGGCAACGCCAGGTGGCCTGCACACGGCTGATGCCTCCACCATTGCGCTGCGCCATGCGAAGACTGAGGGCGACGAGGAAAAGAAGATCGCAGGCACCACCTGCGTAATGTAGGCTGAAAAGGATGCAGGTGCCGCCTGCAAACGGTGGGCTGGAAGACGAAACCAGAAGGCTCGGTCGTGCAGCGCCGTTCTGAAGTTCGTACGACCAAGTTCAGAACCAATCTGAGCCAGAACGGCTAGGACGACCGATGAAGAGGATGAGGAGGAGGAGGCGGAGGAGGAGGAGCAGGAGGAGGATAATGAAGAGGAGCAGGACCGATGATGATGCTAATGAGGATGAGGATGATGATTAAGATGATGATGCTGATGCTGCTGATGCTGATGACTAGGATGATGATGCTGCTGATGATGATGCTGCTGCTGATGATGAGGACGAGGAGGATGAGGAGGACGAGGAGGAGGAGGAGGAGGAGGAGGAGGAGGAGGAGGACGAGGACCGAGGAGGACCGAGGGGGAGGATCGAGGAGGAGGACCGAGGAGGAGGACCGAGTTGGAGGATCGAGGAGGAGGAGCAGGAGGAAGAGCAAGAAAGGCAGGTTGAACGGAAGGAAGGCACAAAGGAAGCTGAGGGAGGGAGGAAGGAGGGAGGATGGGCAAGAGGGAGGGAGGAGGGAGGGTCCTCGGCGCCGGGGCCGACGCGCCGCCCCCCGGGGACGGCCTCGGCGAGCACGGCCTGCAAGGAGGGGCCCGGCCTGTGGCTGCTGGCTGCCTTCTCGAGGAAGGGCTCGACGGCCTGTGTTGGACGCCCGAGTGATCCGGGGTACGATCAAAACTGGTAGCAAGGGTGCGCGATAAGGATGCAAGACCATTGGACGCCCATGTCGAAGCGTTTCGACCGGGGCTGGCCATCGAAAATGTCGAGGATGGATCCAAGAGGCAAGGATGCAAGGGGACCCTTGGAAACATTACCCACCCTTATCATCGGCTTCGACTGTCATTCCTGCCCGGGGCAACTCCCGTTTGGGCCCCCGAGGCGCGAGCCAGGAAACACCCCTGACCACCCCCAACTCCGATGATTCGGGAACGGTTGGACGCCCCACTCATCCGGGATACCCCCGGGCCGGGGCAACTCCGGCTTGGGCCCCCAACGCGCTGACCACCCCCAGCCCCGATGATTCGGGAGTGATTAGACGCTCGAATCAACCGCAATATGTCTACCTCCAAACAATGGAAACACATTATTGTTTCGACGCCCTTCTTGACGGACTGGGTCCCCGACGGTAGCGGAAAACAATTATTCACCCGCGGCACCCGCCGCGCAACAACGACGACGAGAGGGGGAGGATGAGGAAGAGGAGGAGGAAGAGGAGGCCCGAGCTTAGTCCCCGCCGAGAGAAACAAGGGGGGAGCCATACTGAAGACGTATCTGGGTCATTCGGCGGTGAACAAGCCTTCAGTAAACCTCCCCTTAGTGGAACCGGCCTGGAACCGAAACCGACGGACCTGGACCCGCAAAAATTACGGCCGCGACGCCCTCTCGCGAACCGAAAACGGCCAGGGTGACTCCGATACGCGGCAACTCTGGTTTGGGCCCCCGAGGCACGAATCGGGAGCTGCCCCCGCCCACCCTCAGTCCCGAGGACTCGATGACTGGTTGGACGGCCGAGCTGCCCAGACACCCGACGTCATGACTCTGTCGTGACGTCGACCCCCAGAGGTCTCGGCCCGTTGCCCTGGGCCGGATTTTCATCCTGCACCGTTTGTTCTGACGGTCCCGAGGCTGGGCGAAGGCCCCCCAAGGGCCGAAAACAACGAAACACGGACCGTCGTGTTTTTTCCTCCTGACTCGAAGGGGTCCGGGTAGGTATGTATCCCGGATAACCCCGGCACGGGGCAAGTCCGGTTTGGGCCTCCGAGGCACGAGTCAGGAGCTGCCCCCGACCACCCCCCGCCCCGATGACTCGGGATTCTCCGCCTGGAGGGGCTCCGGGCGGCAAGGCGGTTGCGCCCGTGGGCCGCGCGTCGCCTCTCCGGCGTCTGCTTCCCCAGATCTCCGACGCATTGACAGAACCAGTACGGAGGTCTTTCAAATGTCGGCCGCGTGCAGAAGCCCTCGCCGGGCCCCCAGACAGTAAACAAAGCGACTCAGGACGAAACAGCGGTCCCGGGGAGTGGGTCGAAGCTTCCGGTGACTCCGCACTGAAAAAATCAAGACATCGGAGCTCCAGGTCTGGCGGCCCCAGCGCGGCGGCCCCCGCGCCCGCGATGCCAATGCTGCTGGTCAGCTGGAGGTCTGGCGCCCCCCAAGGCGCGGCGCCAGGCTGACCATGCGAAGGGCGGCCTGGGCTTCGCTGCGAGGGAGGCCAGGATTGCGACCGGGCGCAGCCCTCTTCCAAGTGTCGCAGCCTGCGGTCCATGGAGTACAAGCGCGCCTCGCTCACCTTAGCGTGCTGGCCGCCCTCGAAGACGACAGGAGGGTAGAGCCGGTCGAGCTGCTCCTGCAGCTCAGCGCCCTTGGCCTCGATCCTCTCGAGGCACAGGCCCACCGCCTCCTCCAGGTCCGAGGCCATCCTGGGCGCCCAGTCGCCCCGCAGCACTGCCACGTCGTGCAGGCACGCCCCCAGCTGCTCCCCAACACCCCCGAGCATGCTCCGAATCTCGTCGACTGCCTGCTCCACCTTACCGACGAAAGCCGACCGGGTCTTACGCACGGTGGCGTAGCGACCTTCCGCAGTGGCTTGCGCGGACTGCCAGCGCGGCGCGCCAGATCGGAAACGAGGGCGCTTCCGCGCCAGCTCACGCGCGAATGTCCGCGGAATCGACCCGGTTTGCTTCTCGGCTAGACGCAAGAATGACCCTGGGCGAGAGTGACCTTTGGTGCGCGGCTTTCGGGGGGCCGCGGGGAGGCCTAACCTGAGCCCCGATGTGGGCCCGCGCCAAAGGTCACTCCTGCGAAGGGTCACTCTTGCGTGCACTCGAGCTTCTGCCTGCTCCGCCTGCGCACACCGTGTGGCCAGGGCGCCGTCGCCCACCGAGCCTCCCTCTCCTGGCCTCCCTGGGGCCGCCAGCAGCGCAGAGGCCCGCGGGGCAGCCTCGGCCTCTGGCCTGGCCGCCCTGGGCAGGCGAGCTGCCCCAGCCTCCGGCGCACCAGCCGCAGGCCCGGCCGCCGTGGCCTCTGGCACCCGCGGCGCGGCCGCTCCCTGCGGCCGCGCGGAGGGGGAGGAGGCTGGCCGCAGCGGCGAGGCCACGCGCGGCGAGGCCACGCGCGGCGAGGCGGCAGCGGCCGCCCTCGGCGGAGCGGCGGCGGCCGCCGGCGGAGGAGGCACGGCTGCGAGGCTGGGAGGGGCCGCCTGCGGCGTCGGAGCAGCTGCCTGTGGCCCGAGCGCGGCGGGCGCGTCGGCCAAGGCCGCGGCCGCCGGGGGCGCAGCCTGGGCGGCCAGCGCGGGCCCGCTTGCTGCCGCCGGCGGCGAGACCGCCGCCCGCCCCGCCGAGGCAGCCACGCGTGCGCAGCGCGCTGCGCCTGGGCGCGCCAGGCCTGCGGCTGCCAAGCGCTGGCGAACGGCGTAGCCTCGCACGTAGGACTGCACCTTCACTATATGGAAGGGACCCAAGGAACACACACACACACATATCCCAGGAATCCTATATCTTCTTATGTTTTTTCCTTGATTCCCGTATACCCCCCCACTTCCCATGCTTTCCCATACTTTCCTGGGAATCGAAGATTATTTGTGTAGGTGTGTTTTCTCCCTCCTGAACGATGTCTTAGCTTGGCTGCCGGAGAGCGGCGTGAGATAAAGTGTTCTGTCATCGGGTGCGCAGATCACAAGGTGGATAGAAACTTTGTACCTCCACCTGCCACCGTACAGGTGTACACGTCGGTCGGAATAATAATGTCAAACATGAAGTAGGAAGACGGAGAAAGTAGATTGGGTTCAGGCCCTCCTAGAAAATAAGACATCAGAATACACGCATATCGATTCTTGAAGTAGGAAGGCGCTTGTAGATTGGGATCCGGGAATCCGAGAATACCTCTTTCAACGACCAGCGCGTAAGCTTCCCAGCCACCCTGGGACAAACGCCCCCGACCGCGGAAACTTCGATCTGTTGTTTGTACGCGTCTTCGCCCCGTAAGTATCCACATTCCAGGTCTAGCCCCTGCCCCGCCCTGTACCCTCTGCCCCGAGCCTTCAGGTGGGGGATTGGGCTGGAAGCGCGAGCTCTAGACGCCCTGACCCCGACGTCGCGTCTTTCAACGCCGGCCCCTGGAGGTCTCGACCCATTTTCCCGGGACCGGCTTTTCATCGCATGGCACCGCCAGCGGCACGAGCGCTGCCTGAAGCATTACGGGGCGCCTTCGCACCTCGTGGCAAGCATCTGGACGCCTGCTGTCGAAAGCTGTGGCCGAAAAAAATCCGTTTCATCATCGTTGAATGAATTTGGCCTTCATCCCGAGTCTTTTCTTGCGGACGGCCCTGGGGCCCGGCGAGGGCCCACAGGAGCTGAAGACAGCAGGAAGCCTCTCGGCGCGTTCTTTCTTCATGGCGCGAGGGGGTCTGGTCTTGTGAATGCCACGACACTGGACACCCTAACAGTCCTATCATTGAAGTTACATGTGTTTGACATGTAGAAAATATTCTAAACATGATTCAAACATGTTTTTTTACACATTGAAAACATGTTGAACATGTTTTAGACATCTGGAAAGTATTTGGCAACATGCTTCCTCTCCATTGATCGTCCTCCACCAGTCTGGTCTCGGAGGCGGCTTCGGGACGAGGGCAAATGCGCCCCACATCTGTCCCCAGACCCCTCCCCAGGGTCGAAACTTACTGCTTTTTCGAGCCGCGTCCAGCCGTGGCGACGGAGAGGGCCCCTGTCTCCCCCCCTTCCTGCTGGCTGGAACAAATAATACGCTGGGCCCCCTCAGCCCCCCAGCCGGCTCAAACCCTGGTCACCAAGGCCACCAACAATTCTTCTTAGAGGAACAGCAAATGACACAAAGATGAGCTTTCGCAGATCCGCGCGGATTTCTTGGATCCTCGCTGGACCCCCCTTCCTGGCGCGCGGAGCGCGTCAGGGGCGGCGCCAGAAGAACCGCCAGGCGGGCCAGGGCGCCGATCCGAGACATCCACGCGGAATTCCGAAAGTCTATGCTTATGGGGCCCCGATGGCGAAGCTTTCCCATATGGCGGAGAAGTGGCTGGGAAGTCTTTGCCCCTGGGACCTTGATGGCGGAACTCTCCCGGACGGCGAAGAGCTGGTCCAGCGAGGACCTGAGCCGGCCGCCCCGATACGCAACACGCAGCACGTAGCGTACTGACACGGAGCTCAACACGAGCACCGAACACGTGGGTAGGACGTGACACGTTCGCCGAAAGGTGGGCCAAGACGCCGAGCCATCACGCAACGTCTTGACACGGACGCTCTAAGCACGGTACGCGTTGCGCTTTCAAGCGGGCGCATCGAGGCAGCCATGTCGGGGGTGCGCAAGCATGAATTAGCGATCCATGGGTTTGGCGCGCGGCCGCCAAATTCTTGGATCAGGGGAGGTGCCCTCCCCAAAATGCGGCCGCTGCCGCATAGTTCGACGGCAGGGAAACTGGACCCGTCGCTAATCCACGCCTCCTTGATCCAGGTTTGCGATCGCCTGACAAGGGCAAGGACAGGTGGCCCCCGCGGCCGCGCAGCGCGGCGGCGCCGGCATGCCGGGGGTCGGCATCCGAGCCTGCAGCCGCGGCAGCGGCACGGGCCGCCTCGTGCGCCAGCGCCTCCAGCCTCACCTCCAATCCTTGGCGGGCCCTCTCGACCTGCACCTCAGCGGAGGAGAAGGCAAGTACCGATGCCGCCGCGTGCCCGCGTCGAGGAGCAGCAGAATGTCATAGACATGAACTTTCGGAGGTCCGCGCTGATTTCTTGGATCGGCGCTCCAGCCCCCTGGCGGCGCCTCTGGTGCCGATATGAGAAATCAGCGCGGACCTCCGAAAGTCTATGCTTACGAAAGTTGTTGTTCCTCGACCGTCGTGTTCGCCTTTTTGGGTCCTCCTGGGAGGCCTCGTCGCCTCTGCTTGATTCGCCTCGCAACGCTGGTGAGAACGCACCCCGGGAGAGGTCCCGAGAGTAGCGGTAGTGGCAGTGGGTGCGTGCCTTTCCTCCCCCCCGGCCCCCGGAACCGCCAGCTCTTGGTCCAGGTGCATCAGCTGCCCCGCCAGCCTCTGCTCCAGCCCTTCCAGCTGCCGGTCGAGCAGCTGGATGAACTGCTGGTCGAGCTCTTGGAGCTGATCCGACACCCGCTGGTGACCCTCGTGCAGCTGGGCCGTCTGGCGCTGCAGCATCCCCTGAAGCGTGGCGAAGTCTCGGGAGCGCGCCCCGCGCTCGGAGTCCAGGTCGTCCCTGATCTCGCCCACGGAGGAGCACGCCCTCCTCTTGGCGGCGCGCCCAGGGGGGGTAGGGGGAGGGGAGAAGGCTTCTTGGACGCACCCCTGCTTCTTGGAAGGCGCGGGTCTTGTCTGCAGGTGTAAGGCTGGCGCCTGCCAAGAAGCGGCCTCCTTCTAAGACGCCTTCCCCCCTCCCCCTACCCCCCTCTGTTGAGCAAGGACTGACCGTCCCGGCATTCCTATAGTCCTACCACGAAATTTTCTTAGAACCCAAAAACGCTTTAATAACAAAACCAACGTTCTTATTACATAAACCCGATGTGATACAACAAGACAGTCCCAACCAGAAATGTTCTAAGAACATTTCGTGGGAACCACAAAAGGTTCTAAGAACATTGTTTGGTAGGACCATAGGCGCGCGAGGACGCTTCGCCACTGCTTGACTCTGCGCGCCGCCAGTCCTGACCCGACCAAAGAAAGCCTGGAGCGACTCCTCAGACTGCTCGTCTGCCGCGCCCATCTGGTGCAGCCACACGGGGAGCTGGCACACGGCCGCCTGCCAGCTCAACTCTCGCAGACGTTCCTCGCTGAGTTTCCCATTCACCAGGCCTGTGAAAGCGTCGCTGAGCCGCGAGACCGACTTGGATAGTCTGTCTTCTGAGCCGGCGAGCTCGCCTCTGATCTTGTGGACCATCTTCTGGCAGTCCTTCTGGCTGTCCACGACCCTCTGCTCCAACCGTTGCATTCTGTCGTCGTCGCCTTCCTCGCAGTCGTCGTCCTGTCGAGGGGGGGCGGAAGGGCAGGATAGCAAAAGGCAGGGTAGAGAATCAACTGACGCAGCAGCTGCGTCAGCTGATTCTCTACACTGCCTTTTGCTACGTCGCAGCTAGCTGGTTTTCCTGGCACCTCCTGGCGCCGGGAAGCGCTCATGTATCGAGGAATGGGCCCGGCGGCGGGGCCGAAACCGGCTGCATGCAGCAGAATTCGTACCCCCCCCCCTTGCCCCATCCTAACCCTACCGCCCGGCCCGATCCTGCAGGACGCCGTAACGCTCGAGCAGCTGCGCCACCCGGCCGCTGGGCGGCATCCCGGCGTGGCCGGGGACAGCGCTGGTGCTCGCAGGGCGGTCGCCAGATCGCGAGGAGTGGGGCCGGGAGGTGCTACTGCGGCCGACGGGCTGCGAGATCGCGCCCCTGTTGGGGGAACGAGGCCCACACCCCCTCGCGTTGTGAAACAATCGCAACGGGCGGTTTTTCGCAGTGTTCGGCCTCCCGGGGCCCTTCTCGGGTTTCGGGACCGTCAAAAAACAACTCAGGATTGGAAGCTGGTCCCGGAGAAGAGGTCCAGACCCCTGGGGGTCGATGTTGTGAAAAAAATCACAACGTCGGGGGTCTGGGAACGGTATACAACGTATTGGTACCATTACACTCAAACTGATAGTAGGATGCGCGTCAAGGATACAAACCCCTTGGATACCCATGTCAAAGCATTTTTCGAGCGGGGCTGACCATCGAAAGAAGTGAGGGATAGGCCAAAGAGGCAACGATGCAAGAGTAACGTTGCCTTTAGGAAGGAAGGTTACCCATCCTGACCATCGGTTTCGACTGTACTTCCTGGACCTCTCCCTGAGTGCGTTCTGAGCACGATTCCGAGGCGAATCCAGCCGTGGCGACGAGGTCCCCGAGAGAGCCCAACAAAGCGAAGACGAGGCAAGGGTAGTGGGTGGCAATATGGGTACATGCCGGTCGGAAGCAGTAGGTAAAAACATAAGGTAGAAAGGCGGATAAAGTAGATTGGGTTCTGGCCCTCCAAGATCATGCAAACAAACACACACACACACGCAGCAAACGCAGAGCGACTCTTGAAGTAAGCAGGCGCTTGAAGTAGATTGGGATCTAGGAGCCCCAGCGTACCCACTCTCAACGACCGGCGTGTACCTTTCGGGCCGGGCGAAAGGGAAGAATAGCAAAGGGGGGGTTTGAGAATCAGCTCACGCAGCTGATTTTCCCGGCGCCTCCCGGCGCCGGAGGCGACTATGTATCGAGGAAAGGGCCCCTCGGCGAGGCCGAAACCAGCTGCATGCAGCAAATTTCGTACCCCCCCCTTTCCCAAGGTCCCCCTGTCGTCCGGCCCGAGAGCCCCCGTGCACCCGCTCTCCACGACCGGCGTGCACCTTCTTCTCTCCCCTGGCCTCTGGGCTCCTGGCGGAGCGCCTGGGCCGGCCTGCGCGGCCAGGAAATCTCCGCCGCTCGAGCTCCTCACCACGGGCCCCGGCTGCGGCGCGGTGCTGCTGCTGCTGCTCGAGGGGCCCATCCTCGCTGGGGGTCCCAGACCTGGCCATCGCTCGGGCGTCCATTCCCTGTGTTTTTGTCGGTTTCGTGCGTGGTTTTTTCGCCAAATGATCAAGGGTGCTCCTCGCCGAAGGAAAATGCACACGTCCGAGCGATGCCAAGAAACCCGTGTGGCGACGGACCGCGCGGCGACCTCAAACTCCCAAGATACCTCACCGGCCAGGTCGGTCACCGTGCGTTCTTGGGGTGACCCCGAATCCGCGCTGACTCATTGGGGACTAGTTTCGAAACCATAAAAAAGCAAGCACGAAGAGACACTAACATGTAGACACGCTTCACAAAGACAGTACAGGTAGACACGGAACAGACACGGACTCGTGAGGCCGCCCCAAGCAGTTTGCTAGTTTCTATGATGATAGTTAGACACGACAGCCGCTCAGTCTCTATCAGTCTAGACACTCGCCGACCGCGTGGGACATCATGACGCCCTCGCATTCTCGTTCCGATTCTTCGGCCGTCTTGTGGGGGGCCTGGGCGTGGCGTTGCCGCGGCGGCTGCCGCTGTGGGGCCTCGGCTCCGGCGACGCCGAGGGCGGGCCGCCTGCCGCGCCGCCGGCTGGCGGGCCCGCGGCGGGGCCCCCGCGCCTGCGGCTGCTGGCGGCCAGCTCCGCGAGGGTCTGCCGGAGCTCCTCCATCTGCGAGACCTGGCGTTCCTGCATCCTCTCGGCGAGGGGCGAGGGGAGGGAAGTGAGAAGGAGAAGGCCTTCTCAGAAGGCGGCGGGGCTTCTCAGAAGCCCTCCGGCCTTCTGAGAAGGCTGCTGAGTCTTCGGGGAAGGCTTTGGACACTTCTGAAAAGGCTGGGGACTTCCGAACCTCCTGAGAAGGCCCGCCCCTTCTCAATTCCCCCCCTCGCTCGCCGCCGAACCCTACGAACCCAGACACTCTCGCGTTGCGGAGAAAATCGCGGCAAGCGGTTTTTGTCAATATTTTCGGTCTCTGGGTGCCCTTCCTGGGCCTCGGGACCGTCCAAAAACATCTCGGGAGGAAAAGCCGGTCCTGGAGATAGGGTCCAGACCACCGGGGGTCGACGATGTGAAAAAATCACGACGTCGGGGGTCTAGGAAGGATAGCGACATCTGCATAGGCATACGGTCCACAGCAAGGGTGTAAGGCAAGGGTGCACGACCCTTGGAGGTCCCATTTGCCATTTTAAAGCTTGGACTTCAGCTTGGCTCAGGATGGGCCGAAGAAGCAGGGATGCAAGGGTAGCCTTGGTGAAGTAACGCATCCTCACTATGGATTTTGACTGTAAACTTTCGGAGCTCCGCGAGGATTTCTTGGGTCTGCGCTGGGCCCCCCCAGCGGCGCCTCAGACGCCGCCCCTGGCGCGCTCCGCACGCCAGGGAGGGGGGTGCAGCGCCGATCCAGGACATCTGCGCGGACCTCGGATAGTCATCACTTTCGCAGTTTTTGTCCCTCTAATCCTGGTCAGGGTGTGCTCGACGCGGTGCACCACCTGCCCAAATCATACTTTCGCCCTAAGGAACGATGAGACCAATTACTCGAAATTTGGCGCAGATCCCACGACGTGTGGCAAGTGTGAGAACGCCAGGATGAAGGCACCGAGCGGCTTTACAATGTCCCTGTGCATGTGTGTGTGTGTGTGGTGTTGCTGACGGCTGGTTCCGCGTTGTGAGTTCTTGCTGCCATTGTCTTTCATGTTGGCCGTTGACCTGCGCTCCCGGCGGGCTGTTATGCTTTGGGCATCGCAGGAAAACTGCAACTCACGCCCGCGACACACCCGGGAGAGGCCCCAAACTTTCACGCGACTCGCCCACAACAATTCTGTTCCAGCACGGGAAAAGACGCGAACCCTTTCACCTAGTCCACCGGCTTCGTCTCCAGGCCGAATCCTCAAATTCTCATCTGCAACTGTGGGGCCCGTTGCCGGTGTCTCGAGCACGCCTACTACTGCAATATCGTTCCATGGGCGAATTCGCTGTCAGACCTGGTCCGTTGCTCGCTGGCGGTTGTCCACCACATCCAGCCTGCCGTACACGGCCACCAGGCCGCGCTTGACGACACCCGGCACGTTGGTAAAGCGCTCCGATGAGATGCAAGAGGAAGAAACAACAGCACAAACATAAACTATCGGAGGCCCGCGCGGATTTTTTGGATCGGCGCTGGGCCCCACTTCTGGAGCCCCATCCCCCTGGCGGCGCGCGGGCGCCAGAGGCGCTGTCATGGGAGGCCCAGCGCCGATCCAAGAAGGCCGCGCAGAACTCCACAGGCTTATGGTTGTGCCGCTGTCTGTTCCCCGAGATGTCGAACTCGCCCTCCTTCGTGGGCGAAGCACATATCCGTACACGTCGTTCATTTCTAATCGTGCTCATTTCTAATTGTGCTCGTGTCTAATTGTTCCAGGCCCCCTAGTGGCCAGGAAGAGGCCTAAGATAGAACAATTAGAAATGAAAGGATCTTGGCCCCCAAAAAACCAAAGAACTTTCGAATAATCAGAAATGAACAGTGTGTATCCGTAACCGCAGCCTCGCGGGGGCTGGGTTTCCGGGCCGCGACCCCGCGGGCACGGGGCGCTTTTTCGCGGCTGGCCTGGGCGGAACGCATCCGTACAACCGCGATTCCGCTGATCGCGGCCCCGGAAATCAAACCGCGCTACCTAGACGACCACCCTTCGGGTGATCAGGAGGTTGTGGGGGGCGGGGAGGGGGGGGAGCCAACATCTGACTCAATCGATCTCACTATCGATCTCACTCAACGGGACACCACGGGACACTTGTCGATCTCACTATCGATCTCATTCAACGGGACACCACGGGCCACCATTGGACACCACGGGACACCGCGGGACACCTCTCGATCTCACTATCGGTCTCACCTATCGATCTCACTATCGATCTCACTCAACGGGACACCATTGGACACCACGGGACACCGCGGGACACCATATCGATCTCACTATCGATCTCAGCATCGATCTCACTATCGATCCCAATTTTTGGGACACCACGGGACACCACGGGACACCTCGGGGCACCGCATCGATCTCAGTATCGATATCACTATCGATCTCCCTATCAATCTCACTCAACGAGACACCCCAGGACACCATGGGACACCACGGGACACCGTGGGACACCGCGAGCCACCGCCGGACGGGCGGGCGGGGGATAATCATTTGTCTTCACTTCGCCCCATCAACGGCGGACACCACAGGATACCACGGGACACCACGGGACACCACGGGATACCGCGGGACATCGCGAACCACCGCCGGACGGGCGTGGGAGAATCACTTGTCTTGACTTCGCGCTAGCAACGGCGGACACCACGGGACACCACGGGACACCGCATCGATCTCAGTATCGATCTCATTATCGATCTCACTATCGATCTCAATCAACGTGACACCACGGGACACCACGGGACACCACAGG